CGTGCTTGAGCCCTCTGATCTCTTGTTTAAGACTTGCCACCTCCGCCATCAATGATTCAACTTGGCGAGTTTGAGCAAGTAGGCGTTGGCCCATATTGGACACAGAGCCAGCACACTGAACACTGAGAGCCAAGGAGTCTTGAATGGCCGACTCTTCAGACCGTTCTGAAAGGATCTTGTTATCCCTTGGAGTGAGAAGATTCCTAGCTACCACAGTAGCGGTTATGTTATTCTTCATCACAGAGTCCCCAACCATAAGAGGACCATTAGAAGATAAGAAGGACGGGCGCCATATATTATCTTGACGCTGCTCGTCTGTATCACTCATAAGACTCAAATCTAAGCAAATGTTAGATGGGCAAGTCATTTTTCAGAAATGATGAAGGAAAAACAGAGGTCAAATAAAATTTCAGAAGTGCAAGAAGGTGGAAATTTCTCAGGCAGCAACTTTCTGAGCATACTCTTGAACGCAATTGATGTCTCTATAAAAAGAAGAGGCAACAGAGCCGCTTGTTCAAAAGATCGAAGCGACACGGCTCTCCGAATTTCAAAAAGCCAGATTTTCCTGAATAAAGTTCGTTGGCATTTTTCAGACGTAATCCCAGCTTTTCTGATGTCGCGTGCAATTTTGTCAAAGATCTCTGACAAAGTTGAAAACGCGTAAATCTTACTGTTCTATTTACACCACAGTTGCTGACAAGAGTAAAAGCACAGCACCACCACTTGCTATTGAGAAATCTCTATATATGTCGACCTCTGTTCTCCATAACAAGGCAGACCTGCAACACTGCAAGAATACCTAACTCTTCCTCATCTCCGAGAATGCATCTTCAACATAGCATCTCGAAATACTCAGTTTTCTTCCTCTCCGAGAATACCTCTTCAAACATGTCACACCAGAGCAAGATTATCACATATCTTCAGGGACCAGAGCAAGATTATCTCATATCATGCAATCTCCCTGTCCTTTCCTTTGTCCATGTTCTTGCCTGCAAAGACAAGGATAAGGAAAGCAATATGTCGGAACCTCCACTCAAACTCCCGGTAAGGAACCGATTGCCTGGAACCTTTCCTGATTGCTTACCTAGTATTGCTCTCGAGTAGTCATCTTCAACGGTTGGAGTTGGGTCTCCAGTCACCAAGAAGTGATGAACCATCCAAATGCAAGGGTTTGCATTCCACTTCTGCACCAGGGGACAAATCTTACAAGAGAAGATGCCACATATGCATGGGGGGAAAAGCAGTGAAAATACTACTTAAGCAAGGGGAGCAAGTAAGGAAAGTGAAAATGATACATTGAAGCATGTGGAGACAAACGCAACAAACGCGTGCTGATTCATCCCTGACAAAACTGAAGATCACTTGCCACATGAAGCTCCTCATGGTCCAATTTCATTCAAGATCAAGCCTCGAAGGTCCTTAAAGAAATCACAAGTCCGATTCAAGATCAAGTGTTCACTACTCTTGAATCAAATTCCGCTCCAGATAAAAAGGAGTAAATTCAGACCTTTGGATGCTAGTCTAGCAGAAAGTCCTACAACCCAGTTCAAGAAAAAGCCTGTGGAAAGTTAACAACAAGTAAAGCAACTCTTTTTAGCAACTCTTCTTACTAAGAGACTAAAGCAGAACGATCAACGATCAACCTAAATGATTTGAAATCTGGGGGAGATACTCATCAGGGGGAGCATTCAAAACAAATCAAGATTTTAACGAGTCAATCGAAGACTTGTGGCCATCCAAGGGGGAGTGTTGTAGAAATGGATGTCCACTCAAATAATGGGCAAGTTGCCCTTCCACTATTTAGCATGTGATTTACTTGTATAAAAACAAGCCTTATGAAACACAACAAAGGGATAGATAGATGTGAAGAGTTCACGGGAAAGAAAGAGAGGAAGGAAGGAAGAGGAAGAGAGAGAATAGAGGAAGATGAGAGGAGATAATAGAGAGAGTTATCTTTGTACTCATATTATTTCAAATTATAATGAAAGCGCCGCTGCTGCCCCGAGGACGTACTCCAGTCACACTGACTGTAGAGGAACCTCGTAAATTTTGTGTCTTGTTTCATTTATTCCACTGCACCCACAGTCGATTTTACAACAATCTGTTGATGCAATTTGATTTCTAATCATTTTACACAATGTTTTGAGCTTCCATTTCACAATTTGTTTGCTATTTACTCTCATTGTGGTCAACTCTTTAATTCCATTATTTTCACTTTGGTCCTCCCAATTTTTAGATTGTTATCATTTTCATCCACTCACTCACCTGGCTGGCTCACGTCTTTTCGTACATTTTGTCTGTTTTGGTCGACTTTTGAGCAAATGAGTTGCATGGAATGAGTTACCATTATGCGGAATTGGATCCTCTTCTGAGCTCGGGCTGAGAAGCCTACTGATCAGATCGTTGGATTTTGATCTAACGACTACAATTATTATAATTTTTAGAAAGATGCTCTATTTATAGCCGTTAGATCAAAATCTAATGGTCATTGTGTGTTGGTCAGGAGGCTCTTGAGCCCAAGCTCAGAAGAGGATCCAATTCCACCATTATGCAGCGTTTTGGTTTAGTAGTATATGGGTTGGGATGTGTTGGCGATGATTTTATTCTATGTAAGTTATTTTCCTATTTGAAACCCAAAATGGTCAACTCAGATGTAGGACGGCCAACATGGGGCAAGATATTCACAAAACGGGTAAAATGAGACACATTTTTGAAGTTGTAACTAAACTCTTCAAATTGATATCTAATCCTTATATGTATCTATCTATAATCTGTTATGTCATCGATATATCGTTGGTATTAAATTTTTCCAAGTCGATATCTTATCGTTGCCTGTATCAATCTTTGATCTGTTATGTCACCGATATATGGTTGATATTAAATTTTTATCTGTTGATGCAATTTGATTTCTAATCATTTTACACAATGTCGCGATAATATTTTAACAACGATAAAACGTCGTCGTTCACGTGTTTGATATAGACCAGTAAACCGGCAAAGCCATTGCCAATTTCGCAATAACGGGCAGAAAGCTATTTGCTCGCGCTCCTCGCTTTATTATCCCGGCTAGGCGGCTCCATTATGCTTAAATCAAGCTTCGCTCCCATTTTCTCAACCTTTCCCGCCAAACGCCTATCGCCGCCGAAGCCTCCGCCGGGCACTATCTTCACCTGCTTCGCACACACTGCGCCAACTGTTCGACAAAATGCCTCAACCAAAACCCCCGCCACCATTCTCCCGCTTCCCACTTCCGCCTACATCCACCTCCCTTTCTGCCGGAAGCGCTGCCACTACTGCGACTTCACAATCGTTGCCCTCGGCTCTGCTTCCACCCAAACGGACGATGACCCGCGAATGACGAACTACGTCCAGTTACTCTGCCGAGAAATCAACGCCACCAAAGCCGAAAACAGGACCAACCCGCCTCTGGAGACGGTGTTTTTTGGCGGCGGCACGCCGTCTCTTGTGCCGCCAAAGCTCGTTAATTCCGTTTTGGAGACGTTGAGGTTGAAATTCGGGTTGAGTTCGGAGGCTGAGGTGTCAATGGAGATGGACCCGGGGACTTTCGATGCGAAGAAGATGAGGGGAATGATGGAGCTGGGTGTGAATAGGGTGTCATTGGGAGTTCAGGCGTTTCAGGAAGAGCTGTTGAAAGCTTGTGGGAGAGCTCATGGTCTTAGGGAAGTCTACGAGGCTATGGAGATTGTTGGGGAATGTGGGGTTGAGAATTGGAGCGTGGATCTTATCTCTTCTCTGCCTCACCAGACCCCGGAAATGTGGGAGGAGAGCTTGAGGCTGACGGTTGAAGCTCGTCCAACCCATGTTTCGGTTTATGATTTGCAAGTCGAACAAGGCACAAAATTCGGGTTGTTGTAAGTAATGGTACCAGTGATGAATTCTGTGGTTTGAGTTTCGGAATGAATTTGGTTTTGAAGTTGGAGTCTTTTTGCTTGCAGGTACACACCAGGGGAGTTCCCGTTGCCTTCAGAAACACGGTCAGCTGAGTTTTATAAGATGGCGTCTAGGATGCTTTCCGATGCAGGTTACAACCACTACGAAATTAGCAGTTACTGCAAGAGCGGATATCACTGCAGACACAATCTCACATATTGGAAGAACAAACCTTTCTATGCGTTTGGCCTCGGCTCTGCTAGCCATGTCGATGGTGTGAGGTTTTCAAGACCGAAGAGGATGAAAGAGTACACAGGTTATGTGGAGAATTTGGAAAATGGATTGGTGGATCGCTGCGAAAGTAATCATACTGCACAGGATATGGCCACGGATGTTGTTATGCTCTCTCTTAGAACTTCAAGAGGTCTGGATTTGAAGTCTTTCGGAGAAGCATATGGGAGCTCTCTCGTTCTTTCTCTTTGCAAGGCCTATAAACCTTATGTTGAAAGTGGGCATGTGGTTTTCTTGGATGAACAGAGAAGGGCCATCACTGCAGATGAATTTGACGCCTTGCAAGTAAACAAGGACGAGACTGAAAGAAGTCCTGCCTACATTCGGCTTAGTGATCCAGACGGTTTCCTTTTGTCGAATGAATTGATATCGCTTGCATTTGCAGTTGTAGCTCCATAAGCCAAGTGCAATTCCATGTACCCGCAGGATCTGGTGGTAGAGTGAAACACAAACACTCAAGTAGCAGTTTCATGGCATCATCCGAAGCTGAAGGTTTCGTATTTTCTATTTAGCATAGCGTCGGAAGAGACAATTAAAATCTTGCACCCTTCGTTGTCATAGTCGAGGAGAAAATGGTACAGCAGAGAATCGTGGTCGCTAATCATATTCATCCACACACTAATCATTTTCAGGGTGAAACAAGAAACTACGCATAAGTTCCCGGCATTGGGGAGGCATCGCGGAGCAGAATACGATGAGGTTGATTTAACATGAGTAGTAGAAGTTCATCACTCATCAAGGAGATGATTCTATAAGGAAGATTAGATCATTTAAAGGCGGCTCGTCGTAACATTTGTAATAAAAGATCATTCGCAATGAGAAGCGAAGTACTTGTTCTCTTATAAATTAAGAAAATCTTTGTTTGTTAGAAAATCAATGTTACACGGACCTTCCTACACAGAGGCCGAATGACAAGTTTGACGATGAATTAAAACAAACTTTTGACGATAAATAACACAGGTTTATCAAAGAAATACATTGTTTGCACCTGATTCTGCTTCCATCATCCACCAGAGCCTTTGATTAACGGAATGAAATGTCACGTCTGGAGTAAGTTCTAAGATGATGGTCTAGAATTTGGCGTTCTTGCACCATTCGTGTGCAACTTACTCCTCTGTGTGACGTATAGCATGCAGATCTATAAGCAAATATGTTGAATCGCACGTTTGCGCCTGAAATCCTTGATCTGTTCATTGCAACAGCTTCAAGTGCCTGAATTTAAATATATGAAACATATAAAGGTAGAAATTGGAGTCGCATTTTGTGATTTCCTTGCACATTTTTCATAGTAGTACAAACCGTTTATAAATGAACTTGCATATAGAATACCAGCTACTACGAGGGTTTTGTTTTCTGCCCAACTCTCGAGATGCGCCTAAGCTCTTGGGTTCCTTTCCTCATCTCACTGCAAATTGCAAACAAATTAGGAAAATCTTGCAATGAATCCAAACGCGAATTCCAAGTGTCCGAAAAAGTGATACCTTTGGTGCAAATAAACTATCAGATAGAAAATAGGGAGAAGCATCAAAGTCAGTATGGAGATAGCCATGTAGAATACACTTGAATGCTTCTGCAAAAACAAAACGATGTGACAACATATTTCTTCGTGAAATCTTCGAAGAAAGAAAAATATGATATAAAAAATCACAGACAATAATGGCAAAACTGCAATGGAAAATAAGTCCGGAGATTGAAACTACGGCACAATTCATCCTTTATAGTGAAATCTACTGCGATAGGAGACTGAAACCTTACCTTTCCTCCTCTAGGAAAAAGTTTCCGTTTCCCCAAGCAAGTATGAGCATGACAAAATTGGTGCAAGAAAAACTCTACCAATATATCAAAATGTAAATCTGAATTAGTACTAACACGAACGACACCAAGAAAAGAGGTAAAATTAAGGCAGTCGAATAACATTAGAGAAGAAGTGGTAGAGCTTTGGTTGAAAACAAAGAAAAATACCATTAAGACGGCGTGCTGAAGGACTTTGGTTGATTGGAAAACAGCTATTGGCAAGACCCTGCAATATAAAAGGGAAAAGGGAAAAAATATTTAAACAAGGTAACGTATAAGATTGAAAGAATATGAACAATGATAGTGCGTTAAAGCAACCTCACATAGGTGGTGATTCCTTGCAACAGCAGCAGGATTGCATTTGGTTTTGCTTGACTTGGTATTCAAAACAGCATCACAATGCAAAGCTCCACATAAATCAGCTAAGCACTTGCTTCCACTCTGCATTCATGAATTTTTTTTCAAACTGAGCAAAACGAACCATCTAGAGGAAACAAAAACCATACATTCGATTGAAGATATAATAGAAAAGACAGAAATCGAATAAGTTTATAATCATGTCTTGATGTATTCTGCAAGTTATATAGACCACGTGGCAAGTTATGCTTGAAGCAGAGGCAGAATAGTTTTTCGGACTTTGAAACAACTACAGATGCTAACTGCCCTTGCCAGGATTACCAAAGAACAAGATACAGACCTTATGAAAGGAAAGATTATCACCTAGACGTTTCTTTATCGGTGTTAAACGATGCCATCTTGTAAAGCGGTTTAAGCCATGTAATTCTTCTTCGTCAATTTTTAAGAAATAATTTCCTGATCTAATTTATTGAATCACGCTACAAGCCTACAACTAAAATAACACCTTTAAAGACGCGTAATTATTTTTTGGAAAGCGGGGGTTATGAAACCCCAGACCAACAGGAAACTGATAAACATGGACTAGATGCAAATGCTTTTAAAAGAAAAGTTCTTTCATTTGCAGATAAAATTGATTAGAGATAACTTGGGTTTATAAATCAGAAGAACTAAATATAAATATAACAGAGAGGGGCAGCTGAAAATGAAATTCATCTTTCACTTATTGACCAAGTGTTCACAAGTCCTAACATACTAAAGCACGGAAACACAGTCAACATACTATATTCAGAAGATTGTAGTGTCTATTGTCAAAATGTTGATCAAGAAACATTTCAGCACGGAAGCTGTTCTTACAGTATCCGCACTGCCATTCGTTTATATCCAACTGAACCTTGTGCTCTTCCTGATCTCTAAATAGATCATTGTCGGGATGAAGTCGACAGTTACTTGGAATCTCATAGTGTTCTTGTTTCACAAATGGCATCAAATACTACAAAACACAAATCAGAACTGGCTTTGAGTACACTATTACGATATACGCATGGTAATTTTGTAAAAACACTCAATGTTTTGTCAATACCTTCTCGATAATTTGCCATGCTGCCCTACTTCTTTCTCTGGAACAATGCACTTCATGAGCATGCTCTTGTTCAAGAGTTCTAATATAAAGAAACACGTATTAAGCATATAACACCAGCCCAAAGAAAGAAACACCATATTCCAAGTTGCATAATTGACCATACAACTTCGAGCTTGTAACAATATAACCAATAGACGTTGTCAAAATAATCTAAACGATTAAAGGAGCCGTCAGCCGTATTACCTTAAAGATTCAGATTTTTCAAAATCCTGGGTCAAAAAATGCAGAAAATAACATTAGCTAGGAAGGACTACAGAGCAAAATACATTACTAAATTCCCAGAAGAAGCAAATTTGAGTCTCTTTAAACTATTCTAATCCACAAGGGTGGGGTTCAAACTTAGTGCCGGCCCGAGCACACTGCCTTGACCAACTGACCTAAGACGTTCTAAAACTTGAATAAAAGGTAATTCAAGTTAGGGTGAAGCTCTAAAGCCTCTTTTGATCGAACCCTTTGCTTTTTTCTGTTGAATGGGGTTCAAACCATGGAAATTTCGAACCTTTTATCTAAACAAAAACACAATTGGTGTATTTTGCTACTTTCTGTAAAGTCCTCTCTAGCAGAAACCAAAATTTGATCGGATAAAAATCATTACTTTATAAAACCCATAATCCAATATAGAAAATCGAAGCTACCCAGCAAAACCCAACATCTAAACAGGTAAAAAGCTGGATCATATGCATATACACACACACACACACACACACATATATATATATATATATTGAAGTACCTGGTTTGCCTGCGTAAGGGAGGAGACTTGGAGTGTTTGTTGAAGGTATAACAAGAAAAGGATTGAAACAAACAGGTTGATTTTCTTCATCTCTATCAGAAATGGACCAGTTTGATGAGCTTTTCTGGGCAACGCTATATACTGGGAAAAGCTTCGGGAGTGCAGCTGAATGACAATATGGGTATGTTTGTTTGTTGGAGGTCGAAGCTCCGGGTTTTCCTTATTCCGGTCAAGAATAACCTGCTATCCAAGGATATTGGGTCGTATTTTCATTTTTGGATGAATATTATAAGGAATTTTCTTTTTTAATTTCGGTTTCACATAAGTTTTTCTCCTTGAGTAGCTTGTTTTCTTTATCGTAAACTAATACATAATTGATTTTGTAATTGACTCTTTCATTATTTACTGCTCAATTTTGATTCAGATAGTTGACCTAAAAACCAAATAAAAAGAAAATGTTACAAGAGATAAACTTAAAGAAAAAATGCTCAAGCGAAGCACATGATGACCTAGTTAGACTATGTTGGTTGACACAAACCGTCTTCGTTGTACCATCATGTACCTCACCAATTCGTCGTCTGGATCAACCGATATGCAGTCAGCACCAGCAAAACACAAGGATCATAAAACAAGCACCAACAAACATACAAGGGCCATAAAACAAAACCACAAATGCAGATAAGTCCCGAATGAAGGACACCATTTGTTTGACTATTCGCCAATTTAGATTCATAGCATTTTTGTATATTTGAAATAGGGAGTTTAAGGAAACACTCCTGGTATTGTTTACTTTTAACGTTAAGCATATTTTTAGCCTAAAAAATCACTTCTAGTACTATGCACTTGCACCTTTATTTTGTCCTTTTGGTTAAAAGCTAAAGTTACGGGTCGTAAATCGGAGAATTCATGAATAAAGGAGAATAACTTGTGTACATATATTAAACTAGTGTACCTCTTCCATAGAGCCTTGCATGCAAATTGCAATGCATTCAAGAATATTGAGAGCAAGAAATGTGATTCTTTTAACTTCTCTGCTGTTGCTTTTTTCGGAAGCACTTTGAGCATGGTCATGAAATTGAAGGATATAAAAAAGCAAAAAATGAAATGTGGTGAAAAAATGAGGCAAAACCACAAACTTTTTTAAATTTATGTGAAAAACAGTAATTACGGTAATTCTCGTCTCGATCAAAATTTTACAACTATCTTGAAATACATTCAATGTAGCAGTACTGTGTAAACCGTAGCGAAAATTAAGGTGAGTATAAAATGTATATTGTGTTTCTATATTATGATTTACAATAGAGATGCTCTTTATAGGAGCCAAAGGAGCGGACAACAACTAATGGAAATAGTAAAGAAAGACTAATGGACAATTAGTGGACTAGACAAAATTATGAAAGGCATGTCTAATGGAAGTACTCATGAAAGGCTAGTGGACAAGCAATCAATGTGTTGAGAAGAAGATTCCCTTTTACGCCCCCGCAAGACGGTGGTCCCGTCAGAGACACCAATCTTGGATCGTAACAATTGGAAGCGTGGACGAGGAAGAGCTTTTGTGAGGACATCTGCAAGCTGATCCTGAGTAGAAACATGTGAAACTTGAAGAAGCCCGCGATTGACGCGATCACGAACAAACTGAAAATCAAGTTCAATGTGCTTCATGCGAGAGTGAAGAACAGGATTGACACTATAAAAAGTTGCCCCAATATTGTCGCAGGAAATGGTTGGCTTATCCATTGAGGAGACACCAAGCTCATGGAGAAGGGATTGAAGCCAAGCTAGTTCAGCAGTAGTAGAGGCTATGGCGCGGTATTCTGCTTCCGTGGACGATCGAGCGACAGAACGTTGTTTGCGAGAGCTCCAAGAGATTAAGTTGCCACCCAAATAGATGACATAACCCGTGGTGGACTTACGGTCATCACGATCACCAACCCAGTCAGCGTCTGAGAAGGCATATAGACGAGATGAGGCACTGCGGCGGAAGAGAATGCCATGAAAAATAGTGCCTTTTAGATAGCGGAGGAGACGTTTCAAGGCCTGCCAATGAGACTCAGTTGGTCGATGCATGAACTGTGAGAGTTTGTTGACGGTAAATAAGATGTCAGGGCGGGTGAGACTGAGGTATTGGAGACCTCCAACAAGTTGTCGAAAGGTAGCATCAGTGAGAGGAGAGCCATCAGAGAGAATCAAAGGAGTAGAGGTAGCCATTGGTGTGGTCACATCCTTAGCACCATCCATTTTAGCTTTAGCGAGAAGATCATGGATGTATTTATGTTGAGAAAGAAACAAACCCGTGGTGGTGGGTATCACTTCAACCCCAAGGAACTAATGAAGGTTCCCCAAATCTTTGACAGAAAAACGATTTGCCAAGGCTTGAATGAACGTAGAGAGGAGACTGGTATTATTTCCTGTAAGAACAAGATCATCAACATAAACTAGAAGGAAGATCACATCATTATCCTGACGAAAAATAAAAAGAGAGGTATCTGAGATGGCATTGACAAATCCTTGATTGAGCAAAAAGGTGCTCAACTCCTTGTACCATGATCGGGGTGCTTGCTTGAGGCCATATAAAGCTTTGCGAAGTTTGCAGACATGTGTTAGAACAGTAGATTCACCGAACCCCGGGGGGTTGAACCATGTAAACATCTTCAGAGAGTGATCCATGCAAAACATCTTCAGAGAGTGATCCATGCAAAAAGGCATTGTTCACGTCTAATTGACGAAGAGGCCAACCATGAGTGAGAGCCAAATGAAGAACAATACGGATGGTGGTGGGTTTGACAACTGGACTGAAGGTGTCTAAGAAATCCACGCCAGGACGTTGGTGAAAGCCTTTAGCAACAAGGCGTGCTTTGTACCTATCAATGCTGCCATCAGAATGTCTTTTGATGCGGAAGACCCATTTGCACCCGATAAGATTTTGTGAAGGTTGAGGAGGAACAAGCTCCCATGTGCCATTGCGGATTAACGCATTGAACTCGTCGGACATTGCTGCACGCCAAAGAGGATCTTTGATAGCCTGAGAAACACATGTTGGTTCAATGGGAAAAGGAAGTGGGTGTTTGGTGGCAGTGCAAAGTTGTTTAGGTTTAAAGATATTGTTTTTTGCTCTGGTGGTCATGGGGTGATGGTTGAAATTATTTGGTGGTGGTGGTGGGGGTAAAGGAATGATAGATGTGGGTATGAGATGATGTGGGGATGGGGGGTGAGCAGTCGCAGATGGTGATGGTGCAGGGGAGAGACACAACTCTGAGACCTCTGAAGATGTATGAGTGGCAGCATGCTGAGAAGAGGTGTGTGATGGAACCGGTGGCACTTCGGCAATGTGAGCAGGAATGGAGATGGCGGCTGGAGTGACAGCAGACCATGCAGTGGAGTCGGGGGAAGGAACTGAAGGGATGATGAAGTCACGAGAAGAAAAAGGAAAAGTGTTTTCATCAAATCGAACGTGACGGGAAACAAACATACGACGGGAAAGGAGATCAAGACATAGATAAGCACTTTGAGTAGAGAAGTAACCAAGAAAGAGACATGGACGAGATCGAAGAAGAAGCTTGTTGGAATTATAGGGTCTTAACCAAGGGAAACATAAGCAACCAAACACACGAAGCTTAATGTAGTTAGGAAGATCACCAAATAGAGCTTTGTATGGAGAGATATTATTAAGAACATGAGTGGGCATCCTATTAATAAGATACACAGCAGTTTTGAAAGCATATGACCAATAAGTTAGCGGTAAGGATGCTTGGTGGAGAAGTGTTAACCCTGTTTCGACAACATGGTGGTGGCGGCGTTCAGTAACACCATTGTGTTCAGGAGTGTGTGGAGGAGTGGTGAGGTGAGTGATGCCATTTGTGGAAAGAAAATGTTTGAGTTTAACATATTCTCCTCCTCCGTCAGAGTAGAAGGTGATTATTTTGGTGTGGAAGTAGTTTTCTACAAGAGCTTTAAAGGTTGTGAAGATTGAGAAAACATCGGATTTGTGTTTCATTGGATAAAACCAAATATATTTCGTGAAATGATCAACAAAGATAACATAGTATGAAAAACCATCAGTAGATAAATAGGGAGCATGACCCCATACATCACTATAAATTAGTTCAAGGGGACGCTTACTAACAAGTGTAGAATGACCAAACGGGAGCTTGTGGCTCTTATTGCAATGACAAGAAGTGCAAACAGAATGAGTTGAAGACATAGGAATGGAGGAGGTACGTTGGATTTGAAGATAGGTTCGATGGTTGGGGTGACCAAGCCTATGGTGCCACACATTGGAGGAGTCCATCACACTGCTCATAACTTGTTTTTGAGGCATCAAGCACGGCCACTCATATGTATCGTTCTTATTCGGGCCTTGAAGAAGTGCCGCTCCCGTGTTGAGATCCTTGACAAGAAAGGAATCAGGAAAAAATTCAATAGAGGTGGCATTTTGTCTATTAAATTTGGCAATGGAAATAATATTACGGGAAATGGAAGGAACACACAGGACATCATTTAAGTGAAATGGGGTGGTAGAGGAAGAAGAGAGTGATGTGGAACCAACATGTGTAATACTTAAACATGTTCCATTACCAATAACAATCTGATCAGGACCATCATAGGTAGTGGAGTCCAGGATGTTCCTGGAGTCAGAAGTGACATGGTGAGAGGCACCCGAGTCGAGCAGCCAAGAAGATGATGTTGAGGGGCGGATAATGGTGTGGTTGACCGTGGGTGGAGCGGAAGAAAGTTGAGGGCAACGTGTTGCACTATGCCCTTGAGTACCACACCATTGACAAAAACCACGATACCCCGTAGTAGAACGACGATGATTGGAGTTATGGTGGTTAACACAGTTAGAGTTGTAGGTGGTATTTGTGGGACATTGTTGGGAGGCTTGTGTGGCCCTGAAGTCACGCTGGAAGGAGCGGGAAGCTTGAGCAACAAGGGCAATCATAGGAGTAACAGCAGCTGGTGGTGCATCCCGTTGGAGGAAAGTTTCATGTTCAATGAGTTTGTCATACAGATTTTCAAAGGAGATGGAGGTATCGCTAGCTCGAACAACGGCAGCGATTTCTTTGAAGGCAGGTCCAACACCATTGAGGACGTGTAGAACAACATCATCGTCGGAGAGTGGAGAATCAATGATGGCAAGCTTATCAATGATAGCTTTGATAGCTTGTAGAAAAACTGACACAGGTTGTGTATCACGACGCATGAGTGTAAGACGCTCTTTGAGGTTGAGAACCCGAGAGCGTGTTTTGTTGGCGTAGAGCTTGGTGAGCTTGTCCCAAGCCTCCTTGGATGTTTTAGAGGAGGAAATGAGAGATATAATCTGTTCAGAGACAGAAGCTAAGATAGCATGTAGTAGCAGCTGATCTTGACGAATCCAGAAGGTGTAGCACACAATAGAGGAGGCAGCAGGACGTGGTTTTGATCCATCAATGTAACCCATCAGGTTATACCCAAGAAGCAGGGCATTGAATTGAGCTTGCCAGGAAGGAAAGTTGGTGGGTGTGAGTTTTAGAGGTAACTGAGCAGCAGCGTTAATGGTGACAGGGGTGGGCAAGGGGGGTGAGTTGGTGGATTCAGCCATGAGGATCGGAAAAAAAAAATTGCTCGATGGAGCTTTGTTGCTCTTGATACCAAATTAAGGTGAGTATAAAATGTATATTGTGTTTCTATATTATGATTTACAATAGAGATGCTCTTTATAGGAGCCAAAGGAGCGGACAACAACTAATGGAAATAGTAAAGAAAGACTAATGGACAATTAGTGGACTAGACAAAATTATGAAAGGCATGTCTAATGGAAGTACTCATGAAAGGCTAGTGGACAAGCAATCAATGTGTTGAGAAGAAGATTCCCTTTTAGCGAACAGCTTATCTTTTCTTCTTGCCTCTTTTTTTGGTACTAGTTTCCGGTTCTTGCTCCACAGCCTTCTGTTCTGCCTCTAATATGGCCAACTGCATCACACACAGAAGAATAAGAATATGAAACAAAAGAAGGAAACTTAATCCGTTTGGTTTCAGGAAGAAGCCTTGTATAAACCTTGAGTCGCAAAACCAAAATGTTACCTCATCGAGAATTGGTTTAAGCTCTCTGTATCGCGCTTCAGCAAGATCAAAACCATCCTTGCGGAGCTCCTGCAATGCCAAGGACACACCATGCACATAACATGCACAAGAAAACAAATATCAGAACAGCAGGATTAGGAAGTTTCTTTTCCTCCATATGCAGCCTATAGTTGCTTCTTTGTTTCAACGTTCACTATCTACTCATTTGGTCCTTGATAACTATTAATTTAAGGGTTTTTTCTCTTTTGAGGAAAAGGAAGAAACAGACCTTTCCAGTGTGTTGAGTATGTTCGTGTGCCGCCATTTGCCAGTACATATTTGTACGTTTGTAGAATTCTCTCAAAGTTTCACCAGGCTTCACACAAGACATATTACAATATTAGCTGAAGTGATGTGATGAAGAAAATGCACAAAACAACCAACTTAAGCTTTCACAGACAGTGTAAAGAATGGCTCAAAACTTTGAAATGCGAATAAAGTACCGTTGGGGTTCTTTGCGAATCTGAAAGTCCAAGACTGGCTCTGATCTGCTCAATTCTGGCCCGTTTCTCTTTCCTACGGAGACTCTTTCCCTCACCCTTGATTAAAACAACAGCATCCCCCATCTGAATCCATCCATCTTTCCCATTCTGCACACACAAAAAAGCGAAGACTAAGCTCAATATTTTCCTTCTTAGAAAGCAACAGTGCAACAGTCTTCATGCAAAAATAGGAAAATTCAAGGCAGATGGCAAAAGAAATCCTTGTCACGAACCAGCTCAACCAAAAATATATAAAGGATCAAAATAAAATCTTGTAATTGGACTCATAATTTTACTAGATTTTTACTAGTAATTAACATGGATGTATGCAGCACTAAATTAAGAATCCTTCGTTTCAAAATTGAGTTAGCTGTAGAGAGAAGTGAAAAAAAAAATAGCTGACTGAATAACAAAGGGAGATCATTCAAAACTTCATGTAAAAGGTCATGAAATGGTATTGTTACTGTTATCTTAACCACAAAATCAGGATGTATTTAATTATTAAAAATGGAGTACATAAAGAACCTCTTCATCATTATCATCATCGGTCTCATCACTGTTACTATCTTCATCACCTTCATCTTCACTATCATCATCGTCATCTTCATCCTCATCTTCATCCTCGGAAGCCTCCACCCATTCAGTTTCTGTTGCCTGGGTAAAGGGAAAAGCAGACTTCAGGCTTAAAATGATGAAATTCAACAAAAGAAAAGATACCGAGCTGTTCCAGCTTATTTATAAAACAAAGCCTACAACAGTAATAGCTATGTCTAGTGATGCAAAGAGAACGAGATGATACAAGCAATTATCTGAAGAGACAATCGGCTACAAACCGGTATGATGCACTTCCACTCGTCAAGTTTGCTAAGATTTAGAGAATACAAATCATCGAGTGTAATTTCTCGATCTTTAACCTCCATCATTCCCCCGTAAACATATAATGTATCTCTTCCAACAACCATGCAAGAATTGATACGTCCACAGGGCTTCACTACCTAACAAATTAACCAAATCCATGAATCAAATGGATGAATCTAAAATGTTTGAGAAAAGATAAACAAAAAAACAAAAACATAAACATATTCAGCCTAGAAAACCTCTGGCAAATCATAATCTTGTGTATCCATATTAGCAGTAGATTCATGTATCTTTCCATCAGATTTGTCTTGTGTATCCATATTAGCAGTAGATTCATGTATCTTTCCATCAGATTTGTCAGCTAACCGATCATTACCAACAGTAATGGTTTTAGCCATTTGATGCGATATACCGTCAACTTTGCGTTCGAAGTCATCTGCTGCTTCATCATTCTCAGAGTTCACATCTTTTTCATTCGTTGCACATTCCTCTGGTTCAATTGAGTTTATCTTATCATCATTTTTACGCTTTCGTCCAGAACTCTTTTTAGGTTGCAAAAATGAACACAAGGGAAGCTATATGTTACTAAAACAATGGGATCTAAAATGAATTGCTTCTTAATAAAGTGTGAAAGTTCGATGAGCAAAAACATCTATACAACATTGAAATCAGTACATATTCTAGTTATGAATGGCTATAACACCTTATCTTTTGTTGACTTCGCCTTCCGTAGCTCTAATGGGTACCTATACAAAAAAAATTGTACTTATCAAATGGGAAGGAACTATTGCACATTTAAAGTTCATTGCCATAACAAAACCTCATTAATTGCTCATCAGAAAATTGGGAAAGAAACAAAAAATAAAATGGGTCAGGAGGAAACTACTATTTATCACACTAGAGTGCAGCAAAATGCTAATTGATCTTTCAAAATAAAAATAAAAAACAAATTACTTGCAGCTGATTGTACAATAATCTCAAACTGTAAAATTGAAAAATAAAATTAAAAACTGAGGTGGAGCTTACCACCGATGGTTGTCTAATTGGAAGCCATACAGTTCGTCCAAGAACAAGCTCATCATTACATCACCTGCTTGCATCCGGAAATTAGAAAGGAAAATAAATCCACCTACCCTCCAAGGGCCAGTTGTAGCTTCAAGCCAGGACTGTATTGCCTAGCGAAATAAGATACGTAGAACACAAAAAGCTAACCTCCAACTTCCATGTCAACCACACCTCCAAAGAGCATAGCTCACTTCTTATGAACACACATAGAAAACCCAGCACGAGGTCCAGGAGGCATCCCACTTTTCTTCACCTATAATATGTGTTTCAGTTATTAAAAAGATCTCAAACCACAAGCTGATAAATGTAAGTTGCTACTCATCATCAAATATGCATGAAACGAAAATATAAATACAGTAATCAGTATACAAAAAGCTTCAGAATGATAAAACAACCACGGCATAGCATCTACGATGTAGTAAAACCTTCATACCTGTTAATCTATTCAAAAGTTGTATAACAGGTCCATTTTGCACAGAAAAATATTCAATATCTGAGTATAGCAGGGGAAGTAAAACTTGAGGTCGGACAATCATGTCTTGTTCAATTTATTGATAAATACACAGTAGTAAAAGAAAATAGTGGCGTGAAGTAAGAACCTTGTTCCATTCCCAAGTCCTAGGATCAAGGGCCCACAAGTCTGAATGAACAATTCCTTTCTCGGAGCCAGTTTTATCAGATGAAACTTCTTTGGAATAGCCACCATATAAGAAAATCTGTCATGTCAAAAAGGGACCACAAGGTCAAATTTTTGAGCAAGTCAAGACATGATATACATGAAACCATTCTAAATCACTCACTTCATCTTGGTACACAAAACTGAAAACCACTTCGGGCGCTTGGCCACAAGGAACCAGGCCTAGGAGTTATTTCTTGCCACTGAAATGCAACATTGCAAAAGCATTAGTTAAACATATATGTACATATATAAACGCACACAAATTTATAATAGTAGATTAACACAACAGAGACAAGATCTCTACCTTGAACTGATCCAGGTCAAATACAAAGAGATCATTGTGATACCTGCACAACAAATTATTATGTTCAGCTCCACATTAGCACCACACTCCGATTGTCAGCAACAATAAATCTGGTTTGGATAGTTAATATGTAAAGAAAACTTCTGAAAGAACAGAGATGCAATAAAACCAACTTAGCAACTAAATTCCATATAGTGATTTGCATCTGAGCTCGCCATAGAAAATCAACACAAAATAATGAGGTAAATAACTATGAAACTTTCAAAATGTTTATAAAATTCCATTAACAACCTCACTTCTCTAAGCGTGTCATAGAAGCCTCCAAAAACAATAATCTTGTGCTTGTACAGTACCTGTATCATGACCAAAAGTATAGATGTTTATAAAAAAATCTCTTTAAAAATATTCAAAAAATTGTATATGAAAGTAAGATTGGACTAATCTTTTCTTGTTAGTGTCTCAGTGCGCGCGCACGCACACACATAAAGGTACATGGAAATTAGACAGTTAAACTCCATAGCCCATTCTAATTAATTAATGAGAACACCAATCTAAAGAAACCTGAATTTACCATCCGATGACCTGAGCGTGGACTTGGACTCCCCTTTATATTTAGTTGTTCCCATTGATTTGTTTTGAGGTCCAACATCCAAAAGTCCTATAGCAGGAAAAAAAAAGGTAACATTATGATAACATAAACTAGGATGATAGGTAGTTTAAACAGTGAAAGCCGATTTTACAAAACTATATTTTAAACAGGTTTCACCTTGTAGTGATGGAACCTCTCTTGGTTTGGGGAAGTAAACTCACCACCTAATGACAAACAAATGCAATCATGTTCATGATGCAAAAGAATTAAAAGTGCAAGTGCAACATGTGTGTTTGTACATATGAATGGAAGTGTTGTCAGTATACCAAAGATGTAGAGATAGTTCTTCCAAGTGACCGCCTGGTGGGCACTACGAGGAGGTGGACTATTGGGGCTCGAAATTAACTTCCAGTCCTGCTTTTCAACATCATACCGGTAAAGATCACCATACACAAATGTCTGCAGCAAAAAAAAAATAACAAAAATCAGGTGAAACACTAGGGGAAGAAAAAATCCATTTAGTTCAAAACTTCAAATAAAGCACATAGATTTCTTGAAAAATATCAAAACCTAACCTTATTACCATTATAGAATTCACCCCCATAAAGGATCAACTCTGTCTCTTTCAAGGGATTGACGCTCAGCTACAAAATCATCAAGCACAAAAATTTGAGATCAACAAAGGGTAATGCACACATACCTTCCCAAACAAAACTAAGACTAACCCACTCAACAGAAATTTCTAACAAACACAAGCATGGGTCATACTGTGCAATTGGACCGCGGAGAGGGAGCTGGGACATTTTCCTCGACATGAACTTCCTTCTTCTTAGCTTCTTCCTTTTGAATACTTGACTGTAAAAAAATGCATATTAAATGACTTAAAATTGAATCTTTTCTCCATGTCCATATAAAAAGTAAAACTTAATCTGATTAACATCAATGTATGAACTTCAGAAACAACAAAACACTTTCCATACAAAATATTTCTGTCAAAATCAGAACACCATTTTGTTTCTGCACAAAAAACACTCCATAAATGGCTGAACTGATTTCCCACAAAATATAATCTCACACTCTCATCTATCCAAACTTTCCAAGAAAAACCAAATTCAAAACTTAACTACAAATATCGAAAACCCAATAACCAAATCAGTCTAAAACTCCCAGAAGCTATTTCAGGCTTTTCAGCTGTTCACAAATGATCCATAACACTAAGTAACAAGCACCAAACACACACACACACACACACACACACACACACACACACACACATATATACACATATACATATCTATCCAAATTTTAACTGAAAACCCGAATTCAAAAACTTCAGCTCCGAATATCAAAAACCCAATAACTTAATTGGCTTTAAACTCCCAGAAACTATTTCAGCTGTACTCAGATGACCCATAACTCCAAATAACAAGCACCCAATACACGTACATATACACACATCTACATATATGGAGAGAACGAGATTACCAAAATGGCATCGATGTCATCCTCGGGAGAGAGCTTCTTGGTCTCTCTGCGAGCTCTCTTCTCCTCAGCTTTCGCCGTTTTCTTCTCCGTCTTCTCTTTGCCCTTTCCCGGCTTCTTCGTCTTCTTCCCCATTTCTCGGACCGCAGCCAAAGAGGCGGAAAGCAGCTCTCAGTGTTTCAGTCAACTCACTAGCCACTACAACAAAGCAGGCTCGGAACGAGGGAGAAGACGAAGGAAAGAGGCTTCGTGAACGACACTATGGCCTCGTTTGGCACATCGGCACCGGATGGTACTAATAACCAGAATACGGTGTTTGGTGTCCGTTTGTATTAAATAGCCACCGGATTAAATAATCCGAGTCCACCTACTTTATACGGTAAAGATTCGCTTGCCTATTCCCTCCAAAACCACGGTACAATTTAGTCGGGTGAAATCTCTCGCTCTCTCCTTCCTCTCCTGACGCACTCTCGGTCCTCTCCAGCCGCTCTCTCTGCCTCTCGCGCGCTTGCTCTCTCGTGAATCCCAGTTAGTCTTCTCAAACGCCTTCTTCTTCGTTTGAATCCCAGTTCATCTTCTCATTTTTCTTCTTCTCCCCAGGTTCCGCCCCTCCCTCTGTTCTCCCCCCCCCCTTCTATTTTTCTTGCAATTTTCTTTCAATTGATTGAATCTAGTTATTGTTTTCTCTCTAATTATGCAATTGATTATGTAATTTTGTGTTTTAATTAGAATTTTCGAATTTTAAGTTTTGCTGTTGGGGTCGAATTTTGGATTTGTTGTTGGTGTTGAACTTTCATCCATATCAGTATATTGTTTAGTACTTGGGATTGGGTGTGGAATTTTAGATTCTTCATGAACACCAGCAGTATTCGTTGTAGCTTTCGGTTCCTAACTTCCTATCACATTTAGCTCCATAAAAATATGATCTTTTCGCTGCCTCTTCTTCCTCCAAGTTTTTTCACAGAAAAATTTGAGCTTGGAACACATTTCATTTTCTTTCTGTGATTTCAAATGTGAAAGTCGGTGGAATATGTGATTCGGTAATCTGGGTATATTTTGGTTTGAGTTTTGAGGCTCTGTTTGGTTGCTGAGAAAATCGATGGAGGGAAACTCTGGAGCTAAGCTACACATTTTCCTGTGCTCACTGTTTTTGAAGCATTAAACTTTCTTTTTGTATCAAATTAAAATGAAATAAAAACTTTCCCTTTTTCTACTTTGTTCATCTGATTGCTCTGCAGCCAAAAGAGCATGATTGGGACTGCTTAGTCAGTGAAGCAATGGTTTCATCTTTTTGCTTGATGGGTTTGTTTAATTCCATGCAGAATTCTGTTTGTGGGTTTTTGGGGATTTATAGATATGTTTGATTAATTGATGTTATTGCTTTGATTGTTATTGATATTATTTGCTTGCATTTCCCATTCCCTATGATTTGTTTTCATTTTGATGAATAAAGAGAAACTCATTTTGAAGTATGAAATGTGCATCCTGGTTTTGGTTGATGAGTTCTCATGCTATTCCGTTTTTAGTGTTATTATGCATTGTTGCTTTAATTAGCCAATAATCGTGTCTTCTTATATCCTTCTTATGTCCTTACTTACATGTATAATGTCATGCTCCAGTTACTTAATTATTTGCCACTATCTAATAATGTTATTTTATATTTTCACTAGACATGGATGAAAGAAAGATTGTGGCATGCTTCATTGTTAAGTTGTGGTACTTGAATATTGTGACTTGGTTGATGATGTGGTTCATGATGAATCATAATTCAGCTAGAAGGCGGAATCTGCAACTTGCACTTAGAAATTCAAGTACCAAGAAAAGGAAGAGGTCAGCTGCTAATGATAATGATCTTGCTGTGACATTTAAAGAAATGATTTCTGAATCAGTCGATAAGTTGGATGAAATTTTACAAGCTGTTTTTGGGAAAGGAGTGGATTCAAAACCTAAGATTGCTTCAGAATTGTCAAAGATGGATTTGTCTATTGAGGATCAAATCAAGGCACTGATTATCCTTTTTGAAAAGCCACATAATGAGAGGACATTCTTGTCTTTGGATGGTGCAATGAAAAAATCATTCGTACTCATGTTACTTGGACAAAGTAACCGCAATTGACATTGGAAAACAACAACATTATATTTTGTTAAAAGCAACATGCATATCTTTTTTTAAAAGCTACAACATGTATAATTTTGGGTACTTAGGACAAATTGCTTCTTACTGAAAGCAAAGTAGCAGCATGCATATATTTTGGCTATCTGGACAAACTGTTTCTTACTGAAACCAACTTGCATTTGTATATTTTGTGAACTTGGATATGTGGTTGGATTAATCTATATAACGTAACGATTGTAGTTGTGTTTTGTGAACCTTCTTTTATGTTATTGGAAAAGATTTTGAATTTGATGTATGGAATTTGGAATTTTGTATGGTTTTCAATATGTATAAATATGAGAAAAGTTCAACAAACAAACAAAGATTTGTCAAATATTTTTTTCTTCCTTTTTCTTATCTGGTTCAGTACCAAACATAGTATAAATAATATAATCATTAGTTTGATACTGCATCAAACGTCCAACTAATTTAGTCAGTACTATCCGGTGCCTATTTATCATATCCGACAAAAATAGGTAGTACAGTTCAAGTTGCCAAATGAGGCTTATAAGTGACTATGTTGATTTCGGCGCAATGTCGTTTATTTGGATAGTGATCTACTGCTAGCTGGGTCGCTGGGTTGGTTGTCGGTTTTTAAAGCTGTGAGGCCCAGCCCAAATGTGAGGATTGGTAAGACTGGGCCTTGTTTCGGCCCAAATAATTAGTACGACTCGGGATTTTTTTTTTTTTTTTTTTTTTTGAGTAAATAGAAAATTTTTATACTAGGAAAGGGGAAGTTCACCTAAACCACACAATGAGCAGCCTGATTTAGTATCGAATTTGTCATCCATAAAATTTGAACCTAAAACGACTCGAGAATGTTAGGTCACACTCTAACATCTTCCCTTTTTTTTTCTTTTTTTTGGCCATTCGGTTTTTTTCTTCAATCAACAACTACTCCACATAGAGGTGAAAATTTTCTCGTTGTTTCTCGGCTGCCAAACAGAATTTACCGACGCGCCGTATCTGGTAAGTATTTTGCCCTTTTACACACATATTTTCACTGTTTTAACTATAATATTATATATTTTTAGGATTGTTTGGATACCAAGAAAACCCTGATTTACTAAAACCCTAAATTCAACGAGGCTAATTGTTTGTTGTTGAATTAGAACTAATCCAACTAGTAATTAGGTTTTATTGTAGGTTAGGAGATCAGGAGATTTTTTTCTGAATTTCGTGCATATTTTACCCCCATATATGTAATGTATAATTTTCTATGGATACTCAAACCCTCGTAAAATGCTTGTTAATCGTCAAAATTACATGGTTTTTGAACTTTTATCGGTAACATGTGTTTCTCGGAAACCGCATCGTATATATCGCAAATGGGTTCGAAATCAAAGTCAAAGCGTCGCAAAGCATGCACTAGAGATAGGATCAGTGATTTACCGGATGATATTCTTGGCCACATTCTTTCCTACAAGACATGTTGTAAAGACCTGTGTTTTATCACACAGATGGAAACATATGTCGACTTCTGGTCCGAATTTAGACCTATTTGTGTTTCACAGGATATGATAAAGGTCGTACCACGGGGTTTGTAGATCAAGTACTTCTCTTCCTTGGTCGTCAACATGCTTGGAAATCACTAACAAACGCGCTCAAGGTATCGCCCAAACTGAAATATCTTGAATATCGATGTTCCTTTGCCTACATTTAACAATTTGTAACTGCTTGGAGCTACGTCTTTCAGTATGCTAAGCTTGGAAATCACTAACAAACACGCTCAATGCCCCTGTGAGCATCATCCTAAGTCGATACTTAGGACTATTTGCATACGAGGATTCAAGGGGCGACCAGATAAGTTGGAGGCGGCCGAGTACTTGTTGAATCATGGCAAGGTTTTGAATAAGTTGACAATTGATACTTGTGAGTTGTGATCTTAATGAAAAATTAATGATGAAGTAGAGCGGAAATTTTCGAGGTTGTATGTGAATTCAAAGACTTGTAAAATTGATTGAATCCTTTGAAATTTGTGAATGTACTTCTATCTATCCGATAGAACATGAAGTTTATCTGCAGCTGTAGCGCAACCGTATGAAATCTGTTGTACTTCTTAACCTGCCTTGTAAGTTTGCTAGACAAGGTTAGTTTTGCTATGTTCTAGAATTTAGAACAACTACTCCATTACATTAATAAAATGCGATTTATTCTTATAGTTGATGAAAATTCTTCATCATTTAACATACGAAGCATATAATGTATTGGAAAACAAAAAAGGGGGCGATTTGGTGGTGGCTATGGATACGGTACTTTTATCTTCATAACCATATTCAAAACCGTGTCGGATAGTTTTAGTTTCTTCATATACGTCTCTATACTATAAATAACCACATCCAAATCGTCCTCAAATGACTGGGTAACCGCACAAAACAAATTTAACGAGTATAGTTTTCATCCCTAACTAGGTGAGCCTTCTAGTCAGGGAATGGAGTTGACTAAGGGTGAGCCTTCTAGTCAGGGAATGGAGTTGGCTAAGGGTGAGCTTGTGCCTGGATCAGCATCAAAGTCACACTCTATATAAGGCATATCACAACACTAATCTCAATTCAGAAAATCCTTGCATCATCCCACTATATGGCAAGTCGTATTTTAAGTTCCTACTTCCTAAGACTTTGAAGACAAGAACACCAAAAAAGGCAATGACTTTTGACTTTTTTTCTTTTAACTGAGTATTAGGTAAATGAATTAGCAAATTGGTATCAATTAGTATTAAAAAAATAGTCATCATGTTCTCTGTTTTCAAGAAATGCTTGTAATCTTCTTACTTGGGCTTTTTTGTTCTACTTTTGTGAATCTCCTTCCCATTTTGAAGTTTGATGACTGCCACCTTATACTTTCTAAATCACCCTCTAAAGATCAACTCTCCAAAAAAAAAATAACCAAATAAAAAATCTTTTAACCTTGCAATTAACATTGGAAATTTTAGTGTTTAAGTGAATCAATTTGTCTATTTATTGAATAACTATTTCGGGTTTTTTGACAAAAAAAATAATAAGATTCGGGTTTAGTTTAATTTTTGCGTATACAATCTCTAAAGGGCAATTTAAAAAGTAAACGGTTTCGATCATCAAGCAACAATGTAATAATGAGGAGAGCCGAAAATGTAAAGGGCAAATGTCCAAATAAGAAGGTTGCTAATACTCTTCCTCTTTTTAATGTGTAATATATAAAAGAAGTATATGATAATTTTTAGCATGTCAATAACAACTCTAAATTAAATTATCAACTTAGCGATGATTAGAAATTTAAGCAAGTGCATATTTTCCTAAAGACAAAAAAAATTTGTGAGAGATACCCTCTTAAAAGTAGTGCTTCTTCCACCTATGCTGCTGGCGTTGCTTTTGCTTATTCCCTTCCCTATACTTGGGTTTTGGTCCTTACCTTTTTTTAAGTAATGCCAAACCCTAACACTAATTTCTCAGTGTTTCTCCTTTTTATGGTGTAAAAAAATTAATATTTTCTCTTCTTTCTTGTCTCTTAAAAGGAGAACCCACTGTCGTTTAAAGCTTCATATGTACAATATATAAAATTTCTAATTCTGCGCATGCGATTGGTAAAAACGTAGAACTTGTATAAATGTAATTAGGGTTCATGGTTTTGAAGTTATAGCCCCTCCAAAAGGGTTTCGAAGTGATCCACCAAAAAAAAACCCCTCCCACGAATATGTTCTTTAGAACTTCCACGAAACGATATGTGTACTCTTTTCTAATAATAATAGATGAGTGAAAAGTTGAAACCATCTAACGCATGAATAAGATCGCATTTGCATCGAAGTCCCAACGAGTCTTCTCACGTGATTAGCCACACATGAGGATAAAGGTAGAGATAGCTAGAGCAAAATGAAAGTTCACTCATACATCTAAGTTTTCTTACAATAATGTGTATATTTCCCTTATTATTTGATTAATTACGCAATGAAAATAAAAACACAAAACTGGTAATATATACAACTAGTTACAAGACCGTTTTTCTCCTCTAAAAGATTAATGCTAATTAATTTAAGATAAAGTGTAATTAAGCTAAATTTGAGTGCAGCGTTTAAACCTATGATGGCTACCTAGATTCTGTTGGAAAATATTAGTATTTTGGTTTATTTGAATGTTTGGTTTTATACGCTTAGCCCGTTAAAATTAGGTTTTGTTTTAGATTAGGGTTAGTTTATTATAAATAGGGTGTTTTGTTATTCATTAGAGAACAAGTCATTCACAATGTAGCCTCTTAGGGTTTTGTAGCCGTTCCGGCATTCTCTTTTGTTTAATAATATTCTTATTATTTTGTAATCTTGTTTGTTCCGCACTCTGATATTCAACTTGGTATCAGAGCAGGTTTGATCATTCGGGATTTAATCTGCTTCGGGTTGGTATCTGTTTGCTTGTTTTTGTTGTCGTTCGTGTTCAGAATGTTAGTTGGTATTGATTGTTTGCAAGAAGAAAAAAAATTGTTTGTTCATTTTTTGTCCCGTGACTCTGCTTCTGCATCTTTGAATGCTGCAGCCTGCAGGAGTATCCGCAAGTCTGTATTGCTGCAAAGGGAAAAAAAAAGGAAAAAGTAGAATGGAATGAAAAAAGAAGGAAAAAAAGGTGAGTAAAAAAAAAAGGAAGAAACAAGAAAAAAATTGGTTGCTTGTTTTGAGGCCTATGCGGGCAAAGAAAAAAAAAACTTGGTTGAATTTTTTGTTTGTTTGTTCGGAAGTTGGCATCGGCATCGACATTGGTATTGGCATCGGCATCGGCATCGGCATTGGTATTGGCATCGGCATCGGCATTGGAATTTGGAGGCTTGCATCCACATCAGCTTGTTGGCAAACTCATGTCGTGTACCGCCATGAGTTTGACGGGGGGTGTTGGAAAATATTAGTATTTTGGTTTATTTGAATGTTTGGTTTTATGGGCTTAGCCCGTTAAAATTAGGTTTTGTTGTAGATTAGGGTTAGTTTATTATAAATAGGATGTTTTGTTATTCATTAGAAAACAAGTCATTCACAATGTAGCCTCTTAGGGTTTTGTAGCCGTTCCGGCATTCTCTTTTGTTTAATAATATTCTTATTATTTTGTAGTCTTGTTTGTTCCGCACTCTGATATTCAACTGATTCTTTTAACTAGTGGACAACAAGTGACAATGGTTTGGCACCTTTAAATAATATTATTGTTTTCATTTCTTTAATTGCATGCGTCGTTACTCACATCTTTTAATATATTCATATACTTTAGCTTTTATTATTTATATTATTGGCTTTTTAAAGGCTATTGCCCACTATTTACTTCAATTTTTATTTTGTTGCTAATGCACGTCACAAATTCGAAGCCGTACACTACATTTTAAGGATACAAAACTAAAATTGAGTACAAACTTTTAGCTTAAGAGTTGGGAAAACCCCAACACTCTTAAAGGTCCACAAGAGATACGATGCTTCCTTGATCTTAAAATTATAAATATAAAAACATTTTTAGATCCTAAAAGATTTTGATTTTGGAATTCTCAATCTAATCATCAATAAATAAGTGAATAATTAAGCAAAAACTAACTCAAAAATCATATATATTTTCTTGCAGGGCCCAAGTTAGTGTAAAGATAAGAGATTTAGGTGCAAGGTTAGATTAATTTGGACCGTTCCCCTCATCGTTTAGTCGTCAAGGAGTCAAACCTCCTCAGAACCCTAAAAAAATTTGAGCACGAAACCAGATCATATCAAATTTAAGGGAGATATTTGATAGACATTTTATTATGCATGATTGCATGATTGCATGATTACATGTCATGTGCAATGTTATTAAGTATATAATTAGGTGGGCACAAAAAAATACGTGATTAAGATCAAGTTTTGTTATCATATGTATTCGAGTTACAAATATACTTTATTACATGAGGAAATTAATAATTAAAATTAACACGTAAATTAGTATATTCCGCCACTTCAACAGAACACAATAATTTCTCAAGTTATTGATATCAAACTCGCATGAGTGATTATAATGCATGACTTTAGTATATTTAGTTGCAATATGTCCGTTTATTAACCAACCTTCGATGAATTTGGGTTTATTTAAGAATAATACATTTTGTCAACCATTTTTGTTTTACGAATTTCCCACATTATACCTCTATAGACATTGACTTTAAAAAAAATATATCCAATATAAATAGTAAACAATTATTTAAAAAAAAAAAGTCAATCTAATTGTTCTTCTCTTCCTCCAGCAAAGATTGTCATCCCACATACAGAGCATGTTAGGTTGTCGAATATCTACGTCCAAGTTGTTCAGAATTTAAGATTTCCAAAACCCTAGCGAGTCGCCACAAAATACTGGATCATCACATATATAATGTAAGAGGAGAGCCATCACAAAACTGCCTTCTTTTGTTGGAGTGAACTGTCAAACCTATTGCACATCTTTCACAAATTTAGAATTTATTTGCGTGTGTTTTTTAAATGACTAAAAACACTTTTAGAAAAGAAAAAAATATATTTTTACATCCTAAAAGCACTTGAAGTGTAAGTGTTTTTCAGAATTCACTTGCGTTTTTATTAAGGATTGGTTCAAAAAACATTTCACTTAAAAAAAAAATTCAATCATTTTAAAAGTACTTCCAAACAAGCCTTTAAACTATTATTATTGCATCTTTCATTTCATCAATAAAAAATATGCAACTCACATATGGTTTTTTTTAAACAAAAAATATTATCTACACTAAAGAGGGGGGGTGGGCTTAGCCTCACAATGAGCTAGTAATAATGTGATTCAAATTCGCCTTTTGCGAGAATCGAACCTAAAACATCTCATTTATAAGTAAAAATGAATATTACTAGACCGTAGTACTAAGTGGCTTAAGTATGGTATTGACTTGCCTTTTTAATCCAAAACCAGAGAGGTTGCTTGCTTTGCCATAATATATGGTTATTCTTTGTATCGCTGTTGAATTTCAAGTTGCCCTAGTTATTATTAGAATCTCCCTCCAAAAAACCAACGGAATAGGATCCTCTATGGATCCTCTTTGTGAGGATCCGGAAGATCAATCAATCGTGTCCGTTCATCGTACATCGTACGGTTAAAAATTAATTTAAAATTAAATATAAATAGTATCTAACGAAAACTGACTGTACTATATACGATAAATAGACATGATTGATTAATTTCCAGATTCCTACAAAAAAAGATCCGGAGAGGATCCTTGTCCAACCAAACCAGCCATCTTTCTGAGAAAATGTGATTGTCACATTACCATAAGGTATATCATTTTATTAGTATTTTAATACATGAATATATAGTAATATTATACCATGTTAGGTTTTACATGAATCTATATTAATGCTATCCCTTGTTAATCTAATCACAATAGGAAACAAATTATATTTAGTATGTATAACTAATTACAGTAACTCAAGTCAGCATGACACATAAGTTTAAGGGATCTTTTGATATAGGCGCCTTAGTTTTGAATTTTGTAGATCAAACATCTATGCTTTTTAGTGATTTGATTAAATTTTATTTTTGTCATAATTTTGGTGCTATATGCACATTATATTGTAACAATTTTTTCCCATAATCTAGCCTTTTAATCAAATTTTAAAAAAGCACAAATGTTTAATCTAAATGATATAGAAAAACTGTACCAGATTCTAATTTTCTCTAAGTTTAATTAGGTTGCCGTCCATATTATAACATGTGAATTAGTAATACCATGTATCAATGTAATGCTTGAAAAATTATTTCTCCAGTTTTCATCCTAAAAGTTGTGACACCATGTGATGAAACGTTTGGAATGCCCTACTACTTCCTTCAGATCCCCGAGTATCCACATTTAGCGTTAGTCATTTGAACGCATGTATTATCTTAACCATTTGATTATCTAATGGTCTTGAATTATTCTATGCCAGCCTTGTAATATCCAACTAAAACACCATAGCACTTACCCTTTAATTTCTTCTCAATCGATCTCCCTGGCTTTTCCCCTTCGATCATTTGCATCATAACTAGACTCTTGAACACGTTCACACTGTGCGTGTGACAATTGGCTTTTGTATGTTAAGTTTAAAAAAATTTATGGTTTTTTACAACAAAAAATAGTAAATTTATGGAAGAATATCTAGCAGCGGAATGCATCATCCTGCCCCTCCAAATAGAGAGCGCTTTGTTGATGTAGGAAGTGAACCATATAAGAGTGCTGAAAGGAAATATGAGAACACAGAAGGAAATTTTAAGTTTAAAGAAAAAAAAAAGGAAAGGATTTGATCGGAATTACCTTAACTCGTTTTAATTCAATTGTAACTTTCGAAACTCTTGAGGGCAATTTTATGGTATGTTGAATCTTTCACCATTTTGGAGTGTCATCATAAAACTATCTTCTTCTCTTTTGGCTAGAATACGAGGAGAGTCAAAACCTATTGCACATCTTTCATAATTTTAAACTAGGAGAAATTAGGTTCTCATTCTTCTTTTTGCTACTTCATTGATTAAAATTCTATTCATTTTCAATTTTTTATCAAGGTTCTTGGGTATTAATAACATTATTAATTATTTCAATAATAAAATATTTTTTTATTTGTAAATATATTCTGTAACATCCCACATCGCCCAGGGGAGTGATCCTTAAATGTATATTCTCATCCCTACCTAGCACGAGGCCTTTTGGAAGCTCATTGGCTTTGGGTTCCGTAGGAACTCCGAAGTTAAGCGAGAAGGGGGCTAGAGCACTCCCAGGATGGGTGACCCACTGGGAAGTTGCTCGTTAGTTCCCAAAAACAAAACCGTGAGGGTGTAGTCGGGGCCCAAAAAACAAAACCGTGAGGGTGTAGTCGGGGCCCAAAGCGGACAATATCGTGCTACGGTGGTGGAGCGGGCCCGGGAAGTGATCCGCCCCGGGCCGGGATGTGACAATTTGGTATCAGAGCCTAACCCTGGTCGTGGTGTGCCGACGAGGATGTCGGACCCCTAAGGGGGGTGGATTGTAACATCCCACATCGCTCAGGGGAGTGATCCTTAAATGTATATTCTCATCCATACTTAGCACGAGGCCTTTTGGGAGCTCACTGGCTTTGGGTTCCGTAGGAACTCCGAAGTTAAGCGAGAAGGGGGCTAGAGCACTCCCAGGATGGGTGACCCACTGGGAAGTTGCTCGTGAGTTCCCAAAAACAAAACCGTGAGGGTGTAGTCGGGGCCCAAAGCGGACAATATCGTGTTACGGTGGTGGAGCGGGCCCGGGAAGTGATCCGTCCCGGGTGGGGATGTGACATATTCATTTAATGTTAAAAATGTTACAATTAGTATATTTATATTTATGACTAAATTTTTATCATATATTTTTAGTTTTAGTTTGTACCTATTTTTAATTTGTAATTCTTTTTTAACTTGTACCAATTTTCTTTTTAGTTTTAATTTGTACCCATATATTAATTTCTTTTTAGGCTCATATTTTTTAAAGTTTATTTGTATTTGTACCAATATATTTTTTTTATTTGTACCTTTTATTTTGCTAAAGGTACCCGTGCTAATTATATGTACCAATTCATGTAAAACTTTTTAATCTTAAAATGTACTCATTCTTAAATATACTAATTTGTTATATGTAAAATGTACCCCTTTTTTTTTATATAATATCTATTCAATTTTTTTCTAATCCATTTTTAAACTTATATGGGTACATTCTTTTTTCTTTGATTTTAAAATGTATACATGTGAAGTTTAATCGAAGAAATTTACTAATGTTATTAAGCCTAATATCTTTTCTTTTTTTGTGATTTTGAAGAAAGTACCCATGTTTTGATACAATAAATTTTTTGGTTAATTTTGATGAATGTACCCATGTGATATACACACACAATAGTATATTTATATTTTAATATTTTTAATCCCACAAATTATGCTTTTTTATTATTTAAAATCTCATTTATATAAACAACTAAAATTTCTAATTTTTAATTTAAAAAATATATAGTAACGTACATAGAAATAAATTATCACATTAATTTCAGAGACCTAATTCAAACATTAAAAACCAACAAGGTTTCAATCAAATAATATTCATAACTAAGAATCGTATCCAAAGTCTCCATTTAAACTATGAAATTATGATTGTTGCATCTTTCATTTCATCAATAAATAACTCACGTATAGTATTGACGTGCCTTTTTAATCCAAAACCTGAGAGGTTGCTTGCTTGCTTGCTTGCCATAATGTATAGTTATTATTTATACTATTTAATTTCAATTTGCCCTAATTATTAGTAGAATCACACTCAAAAAACCAAACCAGCCATCTTTCTGAGAAAGTGTGATTGACACAGGGTTCGAAAATTTACTGCTGGTGTGGAAGTCAGACTTGTGATTAGGGGGAGGTTGAAATGCCTCTGTGAGTCTTCCGGGGCCTTGAAATAGATGGATAATCGTGGCTTGCCACCAGTTGTCCCCTTTAAAAAAAAAATCATAAGGCATATCATTTTACTAATATTTTTATACATGAATCTATATTAATATGGGTTTATGAGTAATGCTAGGAATACCAACTTTTTATATCAAATTTTACAAATTATATGACGTGTTTGTTGGTAATTGAATTATTATTCAAGTATTGATTAATGTGCACATCATATAATTTGTAAATTTAATTTAAAAAGTTGATCTATCTAGCATTACTCTAATATTACACGATGCATGTTAGGTTATACATGAATCTATATTAATACTATACCATGTTAATCTAATCACAATAGGAAACAAATCATATTTATAACTAATTATAAGAACTCAGACCAGTATCAGCATATCATAAGTTTAATTAGGTGGTGTCCATATTATAATATGTGATAAGTAACACATGTACCATTGTAATGCTTGAAAAAATATCCTCCGATTTTCAATCTTAGAAATTGATGACACTATATGTGATTAAACGCTTGGGTTCGGATCCCGAGTGTCCATATTTAGCATTCGTACATTAACACGCATTTAGAATAAGATTAATCCGATGGCGTTTAATTATTCCACGCCAGCCTTGTAATATCCAACTAAAAACACCATAGCACTCACCTTTTTCTTCTCGATCGATCTCCCTTTGGATCACTTTCATCATAATTATACTCAAAATTTGGAACTCTAAAACTGATATACAATTTGCACAAATTAAGATAAGTCATTTACTCCATCTTTCGTTTGTATCAGATGACTCTGAGTAATTGATCGATATGAAATCTAATCGAGTTTGCTTTTGGGTCAGATTAATCTCTCATCCTCTTTTTCCAAAAAAATTAAAAAGCAATAAACCCTAAAAAGGTTTCGAAATCCAGATTATTTTCTCAATTTGCATGTTTGTGTCAGACTGGTTCCCACAAATTTTTTCTGCTGATTTAGAAAAAAAAAATTAATCAGAACGTATTGGAAAATTATATTGTGATTAGAAAAAGTGAATTATAGATTTGAAGAGAAAATGACGAATGTCTGAAAAAAGAAAAAAAGAGTGAAAGACAGGAAAAATGGCGTAAATTCTTTTAGTAGCGATAGGCGATGAGATTTGAAAAATGGGATAGAGAAAATTAAAAAACAAATTAGGTATGTTGTCTACTGCAACTATTATCATGTGGATAGATAAAATTCATTAGATCAATCAAACGGTTAAGAAGATTTTAAATGCGTGTAAATGCACCGATTGTAAATGAGAAGATTTGATATTCACTTCCTAAATTTCAAGTTTTCACACTTTCTGCCCTGCATGGTGCCCATTTGTCCTTATAATATAACGAAAACAAACGAAAAGTCCAAAAAAATTTAGTTTTAATGAAAAATAACAAATAAGGGTGTAGTGAATAGTACCAGAAAAATGTAAAAATATGGTTTTTTGTTAAAAATGAACAGTACTGAGAGGGTTTCATTAAAACTCCCTGTAATATATCCAAGAAGATTCTCTTCCTGGCCACCTCAAGCATCTTGCTACAAAAATATATATAACTCTAACCACCAGCCTAGCATAAGACATTCACACCAAAGCAAGAGAGAGAGAGAGAGAGAGAAATGGGGAGAGAGTTATGTGCAGCAATGGGAAATGGTGGAGTTTTCAAAAAAATAGGCAAGTCATGGAGCAAACTAGAGAAACGCTTAAACGATGGAGTTTCAAAGAGCAAAGTTGGCAACTACTTCAAGTTAGAAGCAAGAAATAGTTGCTTCACCAAGGAGCTACGTGCCGGTCTAGCCACGTTCCTCACCATGGCCTACATCATCTCTGTCAACGCCACCATCCTCGCGGACTCAGGTGGCACGTGCTCCATTGCCGACTGCTCCACCACGGCGAACCAAACCGTCACCCCGGATTGCATGATCCTTCCCAACGAAGGATACCAAAACTGCCTTGCAAAGACCAAGAGTGACCTCATTGTTGGCACAATTTTATCAGCCATGATCGGGTCGATTGCTATGGGTGTTTTGGCCAATCTACCCTTGGGGTTAGCCCCAGGGATGGGGCCAAACGCTTACCTAGCTTATAATTTGGTGGGTTTTCATGGAAGTGGGAAATTGTCTTACCAAACTGCCCTAGCTGTGGTGTTACTTGAGGGAATTGCTTTTCTTGCAATTGCTGCTTTTGGGCTAAGAGAAAAGCTGGCCAGGCTCATCCCTAATCCAGTTAGGCTTGCTTGTGCAGCAGGAATTGGGCTTTTCATTGCCTTTGTGGGCCTACAAATCCACCAGGGAGTGGGCCTAGTGGGCCCAGACCCATCCACATTGGTGACAATCACAGCTTGTTCTAACACAAACCCAGCAACTGGTGAGTGCCTTGGGGGCAAAATGCACAGCCCAAAGTTCTGGCTGGGTGCAGCTGGGTTTATAATCACATGTTATGGCCTAATGAAGGAGATTAAAGGCAGCATGATATACGGCATCGTTTTTGTCACATTTATATCATGGTTTAGGGGCACAAGTGTGACAGTGTTTCCCAACACACAAATTGGTGACACAGATTTCCATTATTTCAAAAAAGTGGTAGATTTTCACAAAATTCAATCCACAGCTGGGGCTATAAGCTTCACCAATTTCAATAGGTCTGAGGTTTGGGTGGCTCTGGTAACCTTGCTCTACGTTGATGTTCTTGCCACCACAGGCACATTGTACACCATGGCCGAAATGGGCGGTTTCGTGAACGACGAAGGCGGGTTCGAAGGCGAGTACTCGGCGTACTTGGTTGACGCAGGGTCAACGGTCGTGGGGGCTGCACTGGGGGTGACCCCCATCGCAACGTACATAGAATCTTCAGCAGGTCTGAGAGAAGGCGGGCGGACAGGATTGACTGCAGTGACCATCGGTCTGTGTTTTTTCGTGTCGTTGTTTTTTGTTCCTCTTTTGTCTAGTGTGCCTCCATGGGCTATAGGGCCTTCACTTGTGATGGTTGGGGTGATGATGATGAAGGTTGTGAAGGACATAAATTGGGGGAAGATGAAAGAAGCTGCGCCTGCTTTCATGACCATGGTTCTAATGCCTCTCACTTATTCCATAGCAAATGGGATTATTGGTGGCATTGGGCTCTACATTGCTCTCAATCTGTATGATTATGTGGCAATCGTGATTAAGTGGTTGATTAAGATGAAAAGAATGGTGGGAAGAGAACAAAATCAAGTGTCTGCCACAGCTCCTGCAGACTCAGCAATTGAAGTTATTTGAAGCCACTTTTTTATTAAATTGTTGTTTTTGGGTGATTTTAGGAGGTCCCTTTTGTAATTAGTAGTTTTTATTTTTGAATTTTTTTCCCCTAATATTTATTATACAAGTGATATTGTGAAAGGAGGGACTCGATACAGGATTTCGGGTGCATGGGTAATTTCTCAATTTTTTATTTCTTTAATATTTCAAGATCAACATCCTTTTTGCTGTAATTTATGCAATCTATGATTAAAGACCAACATTTTTTTCTACTTCAGACAATTACATATCATGGACAAAGATATGTTCGAGAATTACTGCAAAAGCATGTTTTATCAGACAAAACCCAAGAGTCAGAATCCATCAAGGGTTTCTTGCTCACGATAGAACTAAAACTAGGTCAAACTTTGTTAGACTACAACCTAATACGTGATTCCTGCATGCTGGTTTTGCAGCTCTACATAAAAAGAGTATAACTATTTCCTCCATCAGAACTGACCATCTTGCGTACGACTTCTCTAGTAGAGGTAAACTCGCACTTGTGGACCTCACATCTATTAGAATTTGATACGTGAGGTCGTCTGTGGAGATGATACAAAATAGCAATAAGCACACTGTATATATAAATCACAAAAAAGTGTCGTATATATGTGTTCAGATGCATCTTCGATACTAATGTTGTTTAGCTTGCTGAAAGCTTCCCGACCAATAGACAAAATTTTGAAGGAAAAAATTATCAATGTAGAGGAATGGCCACAATCTTATTGTTGTGTTTTGAAGGAAAATTACCCTCCTATCCGGTGTATGCCTTCCTCTGATGGTCATGCGTATTGGCAAGCGCACTGGGAGCTCCTGCATAAGAATCGAAGGGAGGTAACATAACTTAAGCAAAACCTAAAGAATGCTCGGTATCCAGTAAAAAATGATCACACATGCAAGGCGAACGCAGGGTTAGGACCTTGATCAAACAAGGCGCATCCATTATAACAATCCGCTTGCTCATGAACATCTCTAAAATTAGAAGTGTGTAACTATCAGATGCACCGTTCTGTGAAAACGAAAACACTTGTGTATGTGTATTCTGTACATAATGATAATTAAGCGTTCAAGTTTCCACATTGATATTTTTTTCCAATGTCCATATATTGATCGAACGTAAAACTTCAATGATCGACTGATTGACTTTACAAGATTGTGTCAAACTAACAGAACACCGAATAGATAATATGTCAGTATATTGCGGCGGCAAAATTGCACAACAAGGTTGAGGTAGCACTGCAAACAGGAGAACGATGAGCTTGGAAGGTTTCAACTTGAACGACAGGTTCAGATTTTTCCACAGACACAATGTCCTTTTCTCTTTTAATCATATTAGAAATCTGACTACACTGCATCGACAAGCTCGAATGTTACCCCTGCATTTAGCTGTACTGTAGTTAACGGAATACCAAAGGACTCTGGAGTTCCAGTAAAGTTCTCGTTCACTCTCTGAAAACTGTCATCGATCAAATCATGTTCCTTTTTGGATGCTGCCACCTTATTGCCTGCCAATGACATTGAGAGTACATAACAAACAAAATTAAGATACTGAACACAAAGAAAACTATGTATACTACAGACATTATACACTCAGGAAACCCACAATAAAACAGGTAGGAGCATGGAATTTAATTGCGCCTTGCCTGATCCGTCAGCATTCAGCAATTTTGTTATATTGTTTACAATATTAGAGATGCTTCCCCTTCATTAGGATTCACAGCAGCTGTTGGGAAGAGATGACGAGAAGCTTGTTGTTGGTTCTTGAATCTTCATCAGAAGGTGATGCGTTTTTACGTTGGTTTCGGAAGAGTTATTTTTCTTATGTCCCATCAAACTTAGATGCATCCGAAGCTGAGGAATTGCTGTAGTCACCACTTCTCTAGCCAGTGGGGCTTTATAAACTAAGCTGGCCTCACTTCTCAATCTTAGTGATGAATTGTCATGATGTTCGCATATTTCATCCATCAGAATCGTTACTTACTCTCGATACAAACAACATCAACTGAATGAGTGGCTAGACGGTGAACTTTAATATTATCACTTTGGTTGATGTCTTTGAATGAAATCCATTTTATCTTTAAAAAATGGAGAAAAGAATACATAAATTTTAATTAAAAAAAAACAAAAACAAGAAGAAATTAAACAATGTACCATAAAATCTTCAGGATCAAGACCAAATAAAGACCCATGAGTGCAGAAATTGAAAAAAGAAGCTATCTTTCGTTTAAAGGTGAGAGCTTTTTCCCTAGACATACACGACCCCAACATACAACAACAACAACAACAACAAAGCCTTTTCCCACTAAGTGGGGTCGGCTATATGAATCCTAGAACGCCATTGCGCTCGGTTTTGTGTCATGTCCTCCGTTAGATCCAAGTACTCTAAGTCTTTTCTTAGAGTCTCTTCCAAAGTTGTCCTAGGTCTTCCTCTACCCCTTCGGCCCTGAACCTCTGTCCCGTAGTCACATCTTCGAACCGGAGCGTCAGTCGGCCTTCTTTGCACATGTTCAAAATCACCGGAGCCGATTTTCTCTCATATTTCCTACAATTTCGGCTACTCCTACTTTACCTCGGATATCCTCATTCCCAATCTTATCCTTTCTCGTGTGCCCACACATCCCACGAAGCATCCTCATCTCCGCTACACCCATTTTGTGTACGTGTTGATGCTTCACCACCCAACATTCTGTGCCATACAACATCGCTAGCCTTATTGCCGTCCTATAAAATTTTCCCTTGAGCTTCAGTGGCCTACGACGGTCACACAACACGCCGGATGCACTCTTTCCATCCAGCTCGTATTCTATGGTTGAGATCTCCATCTAATTCTCCGTTCTCTTGCAAGATAGATCCTAGGTAGCGAAAACAATCGCTTTTTGTGATCTTCGCTAGATTGCTCCGGTCATTAGTGTGGATAAGTATATAAATGGATAGAGATAGGAAAGCAAACACAAGATGTACGTGGTTCACCCAGATTGGCTACGTCCACGGAATAGAAGAGTTCTCATTAATTGTGAAGGGTTTACACAAGTACATAGGTTCAAGCTCTCATTTAGTGAGTACAAGTGAATGATTTAGTACAAATGACATTAGGAAATATTGTGGGAGAATGATCTCGTAATCACGAAACTTCTAAGTATCGGAGTGTGGTGTCGTCTTGACTTGCCTTATCTGTCTCATAGGTAGATGTGGCATCTTCTCTGGAAGTACTCTTCCTCCATCCAGGGGTGGTATTTTTAACTGGTGGAGATGCACAAGGTAATGTATCAATTTCACTTGAAGCTTACTTGTAGTTTCAGGCTTGGTCAAGCGCGATACAAACCATGTAGTAGGAGTCCCCCAAGTCGCCGAGCTAGGGGGTCTGCTGAAAGAGGTGACAGACAAGGTAAGCAATCAGAGCTCCGACTGATTGTTCACCTTCTCCCCATCTTGCAGCAGCATGAAGGATAAAGAGAAAGAAAAATGAGAAGAGATGATATGAGATACTTTTGCTTTTGAAGAAGTAACTTTCCACAGGCTTATTCTTGAACTGAGCTGGAGGGTTTTCTGGTTTCCTCCAGAGTATAAGGCCGACTGAAGAATTTGAGGGTCAAAACAAGTCCATCAAATCTAGAGTACGTTCCACCCTGCTGATATGGGATACTTTTGCTTTTGACAGAGTAATGAATGTATCGGCACGTGTGCTGTTACGCTTGTCTCCACATGCTTCCTTGTATCCTTCGCACTTGCCCTATCTGTTCCTCAAGCAGATGCGGAATCTTCCCTGGAAACATAAGATGTTGAAGATGAGTACTCGAGAGCAATGCCAGGTAAGTAATCAGGTAAGGGGTTCCAGGCAGTCAGTTCCTGGCTGGAAGCTTGATTCCAAGTGCTGACTGATTGCTCTCTTTCTCCTTGTCTTGCAGGTAAAAACAAGGCCAAAAGAAAAGACAGGGAAAAAGCATGATATGGGATACTCTTGCTTTTAACCCTGATGATATGAGATATTCTTGCTCTAGTATAGCTTGTTTGCAGAGGTATTATCGGGGGGAAAGAAAGCTGAATATTTCGAAAGGCTTCGTTGGGAGTGCCCTCTCAGATATGATGAAGGGTTGAGCATTTTTGCAGGTCTGCCTGTCCGTTGGGGATGGAGGTCGACATATATAGGAGTCTCCCTAACAACAAGTAGTAATGCTATTCCTTTACCCTGCTTGGTCATAGCACGGTAGTGGGAGCTGCCAGTTTCACATGTTTTAACTCTGTCAGAGCACTTTGAAAAAGTGGTCTGTGGTATCTGGCTCTCGAGATTCGGAGAACGATGCCTCTTCGATTTTTGAGAAAGCAATCATGATGGGGGTATGACTCTCGAGATTCGGAGAGCAGTGTCTCTTCGATTTTTGAGGAAGTAATCATGTTGGGAGTCTGGCTCTCGAGATTCGGAGGACGGTGCCTCTTCGATTTTGGAGCAAGCAATCTTGTTGGGAGTGTTGTCTCGAATGTGAGTAAAGGTTGGGCATGTTTGCTAGTCTACCTTGCCACGAAGCACAAAGGTTGACACACAGGGACTTTCCAATTATCCAGCAATGGTACTGTTCCTTTACCCTCTCTTCGATTTTGAGAAAGTAGTCATGTTGGGAGTCTGGCTCTCGAGATTCGGAGGACGGTGCCTCTTCGATTTTGGAGCAAGCAATCTTATTGGGAGTGTTTTCTCGAATGTGAGTAAAGGTTGGGCATGTTTGCTAGTCTACCTTGCCACGAAGCACAGAGGTTGACACACAGGGACTTTCCAATTATCCAGCAGTGGTACTGTTCCTTTACAGTTGTGGGTAATAATATGGTAGCTAGACCTTCAAAATTTATGTGTCTAAACTTTTGTTAGTGCTGTTTCTTTGCTATTCTTTTACCTTTCTTGGTCAGAGCGATGTAGTGGGAGCTGCAAGCTTCACGTGCTCAACTTTGGCAGAGAACTTTGGCAAAGTTATTTGTGGTACCCATGAGCTATTGTTGCGTGTGGGAAGTGGGTGATTGAACAGTAAGATTCATGTGCTTTCTACTTCACCAGAAGTCTTCGACAGAATGCCCATAATTTCTGCAAAGCTGAGTGTGCGTGTGACAGGTGCTGACAAGGCTAGAAAAGTAGGTGCCTCTTCGATTTCTGAGATCGGCCCTCGTGGTCTCTGAGCAGCCCAGCTTTTGAGAAAGCGAGCGCCTCTTCGATTGATTCGGAGAACGATGCCTCATCGATTTTTGAGAAAGCAATCATGCTGGGGGTCTGGCTCTCGAGATTCGGGGAGCAGTGTCTCTTCGATTTTTGAGAAAGTAATCATGTTGGGAGTCTGGCTCTCGAGATTCGGAGGGCGGTGCCTCTTCGATTTTGGAGCAAGCAATCTTGTTGGGAGTGTTTTCTCTCGAATGTGAGTAAAGGTTGGGCATGTTTGCTAGTCTACCTTGCCACGAAGCACAGAGGTTGACACACAGGGACTTTCCAATTATCCAGCAATGGTACTGTTCCTTTACCCTCTCTTCGATTTTTAAGAAAGTAGTCATGTTGGGAGTCTGGCTCTCGAGATTCGGAGGACGGTGCCTCTTCGATTTTGGAGCAAGCAATCTTATTGGGAGTGTTTTCTCGAATGTGAGTAAAGGTTGGGCATGTTTGCTAGTCTACCTTGCCACGAAGCACAGAGGTTGACACACAGGGACTTTCCAATTATCCAGCAGTGGTACTGTTCCTTTACCCTTGTGGGTAATAATATGGTAGCTAGACCTTCAAAATTTATGGGTCTAAACTTTGTTAGTGCTGTTTCTTTGCTATTCTTTTACCCTTCTTGGTCAGAGCGATGTAGTGGGAGCTGCAAGCTTCACGTGCTCAACTTTGGCAGAGAACTTTGGCAAAGTTATCTGTGGTACCCATGAGCTATTGTTGCGTGTGGGAAGTGGGTGATTGAACAGTAAGATTCATGTGTTTTCTACTTCCCCAGAAGTCTTTGACAGAATGCCCATAATTTCCGCAAAACTGAGTGTGCGTGTGACAGGTGCTGACAAGGCTGGAAAAGGCTGGAAAAGTAGGTGCCTCTTCGATTTCTGAAGATCGGCCCTCGTGGTCTCTGGGGAGCCCAGCTTTTGAGAAAGCGAGCGCCTCTTCGATTTTTGAGATCGGCCTTCGTGGTCTTTGAGCAGCCCAACTTTTGAGAAAGCAAACGCCTCTTCGATTTCTGAGATCAACCCTCGTGATCTCTAAGCAGCCCAGCTTTTGAGAAAGCAAACGCCTCTTCGATTTCTGAGCAGGCGCCTCTTCGATTTCTGAAGCTTCGTCGAGTGCAGATTTTTATAGGGGCTGACATTAAGTTCCAAAGCACACTTGAATCTCCACCAGTAGAAGCTTCATTCTTGCACTTCTAAGATCTTGATTTGTCCGACCTCTTCTCTCTTCAACACCTTTGAAAATGTCTGGCCCCTCCGACCGTCGTTTTGACTTGAACCTTGTTGAAGAGGCAGCCCCGCCTTCTCCAGACAACATATGGCGCCCATCCTTCGTCTCCCCTACTGGTCCTCTTACCGTTGGGGATTCCGTGATGAAGAATGATATGACCGCTGCGGTGGTGGCCAGGAACCTTCTCACTCCCAAAGATAACAGACTACTTTCCAAACGGTCTGATGAGTTAGCTGTTAAGGATTCGCTGGCTCTCAGTGTTCAGTGTGCAGGTTCTGTGTCTAATATGGCCCAACGCCTATTTGCTCGAACCCGCCAAGTTGAATCATTGGCGGCTGAAGTGATGAGTCTCAAACAGGAGATTAGAGGGCTCAAGCATGAGAATAAACAGTTGCACCGGCTCGCACATGACTATGCTACAAACATGAAGAGGAAGCTTGACCAGATGAAGGAAACTGATGGTCAGGTTTTACTTGATCATCAGAGATTTGTGGGTTTGTTCCAAAGGCATTTATTGCCTTCATCTTCTGGGGCTGTACCGCGTAATGAAGCTCCAAATGATCAACCTCTGATGCCTCCTCCTTCTAGGGTTCTGTCCAGTACTGAGGCTCCAAATGATCCCCCTCCGGTGCCTTCTCTTTCTGGGGCTCTACCGACTGCTGAGACTTCTCCTAAGCAACCTTTGTGAAGGCTCCCTCTTGTGTGCTTATTTTGACTCATGTATATGTACATATTTGTAGCTTATCGGGGATATCAATAAATAAGCTTTCCTTCATTTCAACGTATTGTGTTAAATACAAAAAAAAATCCTTCATTCTATAGTTTAAAAAAAACCAACATAAATTCACAGAATAAACATATACAAGAACAAAATAAGCTAAATTGTGAAGGAAGACTTCCTGCCAGTGAGTGAGAAGCTAGTGAGCTTTTGGGTTGCAAAAATCTCTGAAAACCTTTGTCTATGAAGAGGAAGAGAGAGCAGAAGCTTAAAGGGAAAATATTGGTAGTGCACTTGAACTTAGTTCAATAGGTTATCCAGAAATCAAATATTCTTATAAGCGCTTCTATTAGAAATACTTTGAATTTTTATTCAAAATATTAGTACTTTGTTGAAATTGAAGAAGTATTTGAAGATGTCTTTTTTTTAAATGTAGTTAAAAACGTTCTATTTTTATTTTTATTATAGAGAGCACTTTTGGACTTTTTTGTAAATAGTCTCAAGCAGATTCTTAATACGATTCAAATTCACAAAACATGTGACAGATGTCAGTGACATAATAGAGAGGGCGAATTAGCACGTTTTTGCAGATGACGTTTTATCGTAATGGTAGAAAACAATAATGTCTATACATCCTACTGAGATTCGATCCCCATGATCTTCTTCCCTTTAACATTTGACAAATTAACTCAATAACGCTAAAAAAAAAAAAAAAAAAAAAGGTGGTCTCCTAACTCCTGGCTGCAATGTACCCTTCCAATACTTCTGACCAAAATAGATGGTTCCAATTGGAAGCAGAGGAAACCTACTCAATTTACTCGTAAGCATAACCCCTCAACCAAGCAAAATTGAAGCATTCAAACACAAACTTCTAAGAAAGTCAACAAAATGCCAACTTTAATTTTAAGCGGATAATCAAAACAAACAATCACCTAATCAAATTTCAAAAACACAAGAAAGACCAAGTCCTCTCTCTCTCTCTCTCTCTCTCTCTCTCTCTCTCTCTCTCTCTCTCTCTATATATATATATATATATATATATATATATTATATAGTGTTTAATGCACTCTCTCTCTCTCTATATATATATATTATATAGTGTTTAATGCAAGATTAGGTTGTATTGATGATCACAGAGGGTTTTGGTCCCCACTGGCCCCTCTCACAACTGCTTCCAGTTTCCAAAAGACCAGTATTTGGCAAAAACCCAAGCTTTTTCTTTGGGTTTTGTGTAATAATTTGACCACCATAATTTTGGGTTTTCTTCATTCTCTACTTTTTGATCATCTCTCTTCCAAATTTCCATTTTTTGCTTCAAAGTTTGAAACTTTGAGTGGAAAGGAGTGAGAGATGTTGGATTACTATGAGCAGCTTGCTTCCAGGCCTTCTTACCATGATTCTCTCAAGGTTCTTGAGGCAGATATTCAGCATGCCAATATGCTGTAAGTACAAAACTACCACCTTTTTTTAAAAATTTATTTATTTGGGTTTTGTTTATGTTTAATTTTGAAATTGGGTTTGTGAAATGTGGAATACAGTTGTGGGTTTCTGAATTTTTAGTGGTTTTATATGTTCTGCATTTACTGTTCTGAGGTTGAAATTTGAAACTGTACTCCTCACTATCCAAAGGGCCACCAGAGAGTGATCTTTTAAGCTTGAATTTCCACATGAAGTTTGGTTTTGGTTATATGATGGATTGTTTCAGAGAGAGAGAGAGAGAGAGAGAGAGAGAGAGATAGAGGGAGGGAGAGAGTTGAGTTGATTTTTCGTGTCAGCATTTTTTTTGGAACTAATATCCATTTGTGTTGTCATTGGATGTGTATCTAATGCCTGTTGTTTCTGGTTTCATTGTTATGTTATCTGAATTTCGTTATGTTGTCGTATTGACCCCATTTCGCAAGCTTCAATCTTTATGTGAAGTATAATCTTGATTTTGAGAACAAATTTCAGTTTTTTCTGTATATAATCTTGGATATGCTGCTGAATTCCGCCTATTATTCTTCATTAGATCCCGGTTTCTTGTTCAAATCGAACTAATTTTTGGGGTTTGTGGAATATGTGCAATTAGCCGACCCCACTTAGTGGGAAAAGGCTTTGTTGTTGTTGTGGAATATGTGCAATTTGAAAAGCATAGTGAGGTTCAGCCCATAACCTATCATAGTTTTAAGAGCATCGGCTTATGTCCTTGCGTACCTTATTTTTTAATTTGGGTTGCTGACCATTAGAATGTTTCACCGATTTAATAGACGAAGATATTTCATTTTTGTGGTTGATCAAGTTGAGTGACTTTTGATGTTACTTGAATAAAATGCAGGGCAGCTTCCATCCCCCGAAGCAAGGGTGGTACGGTTCTTCAAATGAAATTGGTTTACAGTGACTTGGCACACATTTTCCTGTTTTTGCTTCAATGGATTGATTGCTCGTCTTCGTGTTTATTTTCAAGTTACTTAAATCTTTTCCACATAATTGTATATAAGGTTGGTTTCTGCCTTGCCTGTTCTTATGTTTCTAATGTAAATTTACAGCTTAATTTTTGCCCCCTGCGTAATGGAATTTTAGTTCTTGAATGTTTGCGTGTTTGTTGGTTTTGTATTTCAGGTACGCTCAGATGGGAGATCAAATATCTCTTCATGTGGAAGGAAAGCTACCATCAGCGAATTTTACAGTATGTAAACTTTCTTCTAACTCTGCTAGTTGATCTAACATCTGTATAAGATGCAATTTGAACCTTATATAGAGGATGGATGTTTGCGTATGTTTTACGGAAAACTTAAAAATGAGCCCTCTGGTGCATAACTTCACTTTAGGATTTCGAAAATTGATGGCTAATTCTTTAAATGGTTCTCGTTCCAGCTGTAATTTCAATTTTACGGCAGCATTCATTTTGGTCTGCTTTTAAACTTCAAAACGCATTAAGCAGAGTTGTTTCTGCAATTCATCATTATTCATGTCTTTCCCTACATAAAACTGCAGATGTTATATTGCCGTCCCTTCAGTGTCTCCACGGTGATTCATTGGAGATGGATACCACCCAAGAGGAAGCTCTAGAGATGGCTGCGAGGAAACCATATGAGGATAAGATAAAGCTTTCAGATGTGGACTTGGAGAGAGAAGCTGAATGTGGCATCTGCTTAGTACCTTGCACCAAAATGGTTTTGCCAAACTGCTGCCATGCAATGTGCATTAACTGCTACCACGACTGGTATGAATAACGTAGTTCTTCCCTAATCTTCGAAATAATTTCTCCGAAATAATTTGTTCTTCCTTTGCTCGCTTTAGTTTCATCCAGGTAGTTACCATATGATGATTTGGCTCATTATTTTTAACTGTTCGCATCTTTGCCTCTTGATATATTACAGGAACATAAGATCGGAATCTTGCCCGTTTTGCCGGGGAAGTCTAAAAAGAGTGAACTCAGGGGACTTGTGGGTTCTGACCTGCGGTAGCGATGTGGTTGACACTCAAACCGTGTTGAAGGAAGATATGTTGCGGTTCTATCTTTTTATCAACAGACTGCCCAAAGATCTCCCGGATGCGTTGTTCTTAATGTATTATGAGTACTTAATTTGATCAAACATGGCGTATAGAGAGAGGCGATTGTAAGATTAAAACTTATCAAAAATATAAGTTAAGAGATTAACCATCACGAGTACATAGTCCATTTAGGTTTTAACATCGTAAATTTCATTTCCACTTCACCCCAAGCAAAATAATGTATATGCTTTGTGTAAGAGACAGAAATATATATCAGACGAGTCACCTCTTTTCTTATGCAATTTTGGTTTTGTGATGGAAGGCAATCGGGAAAAGTTATGATTCGACGAAATCTGGTCCGAATTCGTTATCAGATTTAAAAGGAGTCATCTTTCACTCAGGTTATATTATATATAGTAAATAGTTCAAAAAGTTCTCAAGCATACTTCGAACACAGAAATATCTACTCTCAAGAGATCACAAGCAACACAGAAAAGTACTAAAAGATGAATCTGATCATCCGAAGGCAGGCCATTCACCCGTTACGCAGTTTTATGTCCAACAAGGAACTGAAAGGAGGGTGAGTGGCGTTGCCTTTTAGGAACATATCAGAAAGCACCTTGTACATGGCTTCAGTGAGATGAACTCCATCCCAATTTATGTACTGAGACGGGCTTTTACAGGCGGTGGCAGAAGGCGTGCCGCAAGTGGCAAACACGTCGAAGTTGTAGGGGTCATCGCTCTTCCCACAGCAGGCCTTGAAGCTCTCCGTGAAACCGTACTGGCTCGGATTCTTCATGACTGTGAGATGGGCATTCCAGTAGTCAGCATAGGTTATGACAGCATGGGGAAACTGTTTCCTGAGTACTTGCAACTTTGCTTGGAGCACAAGGTTATGGCTGTAGGTTTGGTTGTTGACACTCTTGACACATCCGACGCTGTCTCTGTCGTCTTCCGGCGCTAACGTCATCGCCAACGGCAAGCAGCCTGAAAGTGGCAGACCTTGGACAACAACATATTTGGCACCCTTCTTTAACAGTGCCTGCAAGGCATTGAAAGCATTTCTCCAATCAGCCCAAGTCCAAAACATTTGTTTTTTTTTTTTTAACTTATTATTAAGCTTAATTTCTAGCTTTAGTATTTATCTTCGAAAGAATAAGGACCAAATTCGGTGCAATTGAATTCATGAGAGTAAGGCAATGGAGATTACATTTTTATACCGCATGATGTGTCAAATGATTCACATAGTCAATATGATGGGGGATAAAATTACACTTTCATTCATGTATCTCGAACTAGGTCGAATTCGAATTTATCATGTGGTTTGCAAATTAATCCAAATTCGTTGTCGTTTTTGGAATCGAAAATAGAGGATGAAAGTGGAACTTTATTAAATTAAAGAGATTGAAAATGTGATTTAGCCAAAAAACCTTGACTCGAAATAGGAATCCGCCAAAAAAAGGAGAGAAATAGGACTTTATACTCATAACCAAAACAACTTGAAGAACTTTTTTTTTAAATAATTATTATTAAGGAGAGGAAGAGGGTTTGAAACTATTATATTATTTTAGGAAATTGAGAAGTTTCGGGACGCAATAGTAGAAACCCAACACTCTATCCACAAGGATATTAGGCTACAACTTGAAGATTTATTATGCCTATTGACTTTAGGCATTTGAGTTTGTGTTAGACAAATAATTCTAGCTAGGTGAAAAAAAAGAGAAAATGATTTCCGCACACTACTTTTTACGTTTCTCGTTCTGTAGACTCATATGCATTTTGTTCTTTAATTCTCCCTAATCCGAAAACCAAACACGAAAATGGGCGTGTAATGACAAAAATACGATGGGTTGAAATCACTTCCCAAAACTAAATTAAAAACATACAAATTTTCAGACCATTTATTCAACCCATAAAAATCTAGCGAAATTAAAAATCATACCTGCAGAAAGCTAGTAACCCTACTGACCCCAAGCTTCTGAATTGTATCACCTGGCACAGCAGATCCAAGTGTATAAGCATAATCATTGACTCCGATTTCTCCAACCCAAAAAAGTGCATCATCAAATTTGCATTCCGGTCCTCCAACTTTGCAACCTTTACTTTCCAAGAACTTGTTGAACCAAAGCAGCTGAGACAGGATAGACTGAGGAGTGATGGCAAGGCTGAGGTTGTTCTTCACAAAGAACTCGTGCTCTATGGCAGTGGAACCCGCGACGGCGAAGTTAACTCCGTGAGTTGAGTCTGCTGAGGCATTGCTCGAAACGACACGGTAGGGTGGCAAGTAGGGCAAGGAGAGTGACTCGGTGACGAAGTCAATGACTAGGCGGCCGTCGGAGTAGCGGTTGGTGGGGCGGTGGAAGAAGGTGATGCCGTAGGGAAAGTTTGAGACGTGGCCGAAGCCACTAGGGCCTGAGATGGATCTTGTGTTGCCTGTGTCTGTGAATGAGTCACCAAAGGCGTAGATTTTCTTGAAGGGCGATGTAGGGTTTTGTTTTGTTGCTGCAGCGGAGGCGGGGAAGGAGGAGGAGGAGAGGAAGGAGATGGTGGTGAGGGTAATGAGGGTAATCTGCCAAGATGTGAAGAGTGGAGAAGAGGAAGAAGCCATGTCTAAGCTCTCTTACTACTAGCTAGCTACCTTATTATTTTGCATATGTATAGTTCTTATGTACTTTTTTCACTTCTGAAAAAGGACAAATATGTCTTTTAACTTAAGCAATGTATACTATTGGAAACAAATTAAAGACCACTTGTGCAAATTATTGTCACGAGAAGAGTGTTCGATTTACAAAATTCCGTGTTTATGATTAAATCCATTTATACTTTAAAAGATCATCTGTATAAAAAATCAATTAAAATTAAAGTTGTTTAGTCACTTAATGATAGCAAATAGCTATACGGATCATAATGTTTTTACCGAATCCGCCCATTTGTTTTTGTATAGTTTGTTGACTAAATGATCTCATATTTTATTGAGTTTATACAAAGATGATCTTGATAAAGTGATTTATGATATTAACATTTCAAATTATATGTTTAAGTTCTGTAAATTAATCACCAAATAAATTGAGGAATGACCCCTCCTCAAGAAGCCAAGTTAATTCCTACTGTTATATGCTATTAGCCTCAACATCCAATTGATGGATCCATTGATTTGGAAGTTAAAAAAACAATGAAAAAGTTCTCATAATTTTCATGGATTTTGGGTCAAAGATTGTAAAGCATTTTAGCACTGTAAAACGACAAGAAGTTTGGCAACATATTCGAATTTCGGATGTCTTTCAATTTTTTTCTTTCGACATTTATGCATTTCATTGTCGCAATACAAATAAAATTGTTGTGTTATTTTGGTTCTTTTGTAATAACTTGTTAGTTTCCAATTAAAAATTAGCATAAATTATGAGTTTGATTGACACTGAAATAGGTCAGCACACCATAACTACGAACAAACATCAAACAATCAAAGTTAGAACTTGGAAGTCAATATACTAAGGGGTGGTGGTGACTCATGTGGGAGCTATTAATTTGGAAGTCCATATACCATTAGCAGTGTATACTATTGGAAACAAATTAAAGACTACTTGTGCAAATTATTGTCACAAGAGCAGTGTTCGATTTACAATATTTCGTGTTTATGATTAGATCCATTTATATTTTAAAAGATCATCTGGACAAAAAATCAATTAAATTAAGGTCGTTTAGTCACTTAATGGTAGCAAATAGCGATACAAATCATGTTTACCGAATTCGTCCATTTGTTTTTGTATAGTTTGTTGACTAAATGATCTCATATTTTATTGAGTTTATAAAAAGATGATCTTGATAAAGTGATTTATGATATTAACATTTCAAATTATAGGTTTAAGTTCTGTAAATTAATCACCAAATAAATTGAGGAAAAACCCCTCCCCAAGAAGCCAAGTTAATTCCTACTGTTATATGCTATTAGCCTCAACATCCAATTGATGGATCCATTGATTTGGAAGTCAAAAAACAATGAAAAAGTTCTCATAATTTTCATGGATTTTGGGTCAAAGATTGTAAAGCATTTTAGCACTGTAAAACGACAAGATGTTTGGCAAAATATTCGAACTTCGGATGTCTTTCAAATCTTTTTCTTTCGACATTTATGCATTTCACTGTCGCAATACAAATAAAATTGTTGTGTTATTTTGGTTCTTCTGTAATAACTTATTAGTTTCCAATTAAAAATCAGCATAAATTATGAGTTTGATTGACACTGAAATAGGTCAGCATACCATAATTACGAACAAACATCAAACAATCAATGTTAGGAGAAATTTTTATTTGTGACGGAAATATAGATGGTACACCACATGTTTTTATGCAAGTGATGGAAAATTTTAATTTTTAAGTTATTAACATTTTTAACACACATAACTCGCCATTTATATAAAGACAAGTGGTGTACTACCTCGTGTGACGGTCACACTGAAAAATCTCTTCAAAGCTAGAACTTGAAAGTCAATATCTAACTAAGGGGTGGTGGTACCACTCATGTGGGAGCTATTAATTTGGATCTAAAAAGATCTATGAAGTAGTTGAATGAAAAATAAATGGCCGTAAATGATCATGTGTCACCACTCCCAACCATTTTCCTGCCGCTCCTTTGGAAAAAAAAACACAGAAATTTCAAAAGCAAAAAAAGGAATTCTTTTGCTTTTTGTGTATTCAATTATGATTTTGAGAGATTTTAATACTTTTAATAAATCTAGAGGTACCAATCAAGATTTTAAATTATTCTCTAAAATTTAATGTGTATTCAATCGGGATTTTAAGATAGTTTATTAAAATCCTTAGAAATCCGGATGTATTCAATTAAAATTTTAGAGAAGTTTATAACATTCCATATGTATTTAATTAGAATTTGATTTTAAATAATTTGAAAAAGTTGAGGAATTAGAGAGAATTGAAGAGATTTTGTAGTGTATTTTAAGCATTTATAAATGGGAACTTTAATGAAAAGGGCTTGGACTAAGTTTATTTTAACAAAAAAACCATGCTATAAACTTTATTTAATGAAAAAGAATTAAATTATAATGAAAAATCCTTAAATTTTAATAAAAATGACAAAAAAACTTAATTTTTAACGAAAAGGACACAATTTAAAAAAAACAAAACAAAAAACCTGACGCGCACGCAGTACATGTACACTGTTTATGAAACTGAACAGTGTTTATAAAACTGAACATTATTTATGAAATTGCACTATTTATGAAACTGAACGGTACTATACTATTTATTGGTTCAATTTTATAAATAGTGTCTAGTTTTTTGTCCACTTTCATAAAATGATGTCTAGTTCTTGATCATGTTTCATAAATAATGTCTAGTTATTGGGTCCAGTTTCATAAATAATGTATAGTAATTGGTACAATTTCATTAATAGTGTCTCTTTCTTGGTCCGATTTCATAAATAGTGTCTAGTTATTGGTCCACTTTCATAAATAGTGCCTATTTCTTTATCATAATTCATAAATATTGTCTAGTTCTTACTCCAGTTTCATAAATAGTGTATAGTCAAATGTTCAAATTATTCCTAATTCTTGTTTTCGTTTCATAAATAGTGTCTACTTATTGATCCAGTTTCATAAATGATGTCTACTTATTGGTCTATTTCATTAATAGTGTCTACTTATTGGTGAAGTTTTATAAATAGTATTTAATTATTGGTTCAGTTTCATAAGGTTTGAAACTTAGACCCTTATTGGTCAAGTTTTATAAATAGTGTTTAATTCTCAGTAATTATATTTAAAAAGCTGTTTTCAATTACCAAATTAAAATTTCCTCACTTTTTTCATATACCTACAATAATAAATGTAGCTTTCCATCCAATTTCTTGAGCTTAGGAGTCATCTTCGAGAAATTTTTCCTTGTGCCCGTAACACAAATGATATACCACATGTTATTATATAAGTGTGGTGGAAAATTTTATTTTTTATGTTATTAATTTTTTAACACAAGATTCTCACAACTTGTATGTGAGTGTACCATCTGGTGTTCTGGGCACATTGAAAAGTTTCTCATCAGCATGACTACTAGTAGAAAACAACACCACAACAATAAAACAGGAGACAAAAATAAAACCGGAGAATGTAATTCACTTCGAATTTTTTTTTTTTAATTCTATGCAAAAAAAAAAAAAAAACTATTAATGTAGCTGAATGATGGGACAAAAGGTAGGAGAAAAAAAGTGGATTGGGGGGTGGGGGGGTACACGCCCAGCGATAGTGGGTTTGTTATTTTTTCAGTCTTTTGTCCTTATTATTAAAATAAAGTTAGTGGAAGGTTTTTGATTAAAATGTAAAGATTTGAAACCCTTTTCATTAGTTTTCCTTTTATAAATCTCACCTCTCGCTATGAGATTTCGAGGGAATTGAATCAAAATTTTACATAAAATCTCTACAAATCAATTAGACTCCATAAAAATCTATGGATCTATAAATCCATTAAAATCTCTCAAATTCCCAATTGAATACACCCCTCTTACACTCGTTTGAAAATATTGTTAAAATAATTAAAAATATTTTTGGTGAAAATATTTAGAGTCAATTCTTAATAAAAATGTAAATAAATCGTAATAAAACATTTGAAGTATTGTGTACAAGAAGGGAAGTTTTATTTGAACCCATTTAATATATTTCTACACCCAACTTAAATTTTAAATGTGACTTTGTCTTTTTATCCTATTGCATAATTATCATTAAGTACAAAATGAAATTAACAATAAAACTAATATTTATTAACAAACCCATACCCAATAATCAAACCTATTATCACCTAATCTTTATTCTCCATTCATTATAGCTAAAACTCTAAGACGTTCTCATATAGAAAGACAAGCTCTTTCTGAACGATGGAGATGATGATTTTGAAGTTTTGAATTCTCCAACTAAGGTATGAATCGATTTATGCAAATTTTTTTTCGTTTGATTTCACAATCAACCCCTTTTTCAAAGCATAATTACTAGCAGAAACATATATAGGATTTAAAATTTTATAGTCTAGCTACTTGTGTGAATATCACGCTTTCTTTTCATTTCATTCGTGAAGGGTGGAGGCTATACTTTGCTTGTACTTCAGATGGCAGTGGATAACAGCAATATAGCGACTGTCCTTGAATTTGAAGGTGTTGAGTTACTTCTATCTTGTTAAACAAATGTATGTATGTGGTCTCCAAAAGCTTCCCCATCTTCCGCTTGTTTCAATTAGTCATAATTTAATTCAGTTGTTGGATGTCGAAAATGTTTCAATTTCATGAAAATATGGGAATGTGATTTTCAAGTATGTTCGTAGCATAGAAAAACATGCCTTCAATTTTAGAGGTAAATTTTTTTTATCTTGATTATGATAATTAAAACATAATCTTGTTTTAATTATGAGATTATTGGGTTTCGTTATCGTCATGTAATGGGAAGATGGCGTGGCTCTATTTCTCTACAAATTCGTGTAGGCCTTGCAAAGCTCTTACCTCTCAGATGTGAGACTTTATGAAATGCTTTAAGTGGAAGGCAAAGAGTTTCAGATAATTTTTGTCTCATCCAATTGTAACGAGGAAAAATTCAATGAACGCTTCCAAGTGCATGCCGTGGCTAACAGTGCTCATCTTCATAAAAGATTGAGTG